ACTGTATTTTCAGGCCTCCAATAGGCGGCTTCTCCCCCCACCTCACTACTATTTATTCCATTTATTCATCACCTTTTACAAAAAGATGTCTCAAAGCATCTAACAAATCCATAAAATCCCCCACCCCAAAACGCACAAAAAACAAAAGCTACTCCACCCTACAAAAATGGGGAATGGGAATTTTATGGCTCAGAGGGCTAGATCTTTATTTCCTGACACTCTGCAAACCACCTTGGACAGGTGGGCAGGATCTGCCCTTTTCCAGCTTCTAAAATCCCTGCAAAAGCTGATCTTGCTGTTTCTCTTAAAACTCCCACAGGCTACAGTTCATCTCTTACCTCTTTTGCAAATTTCCTTTCTCTCTTATTGGAGCCTGCCCCCTTGTGGCGAAGCAGATGTACAACCACAGATTATTCTTATTTTTTAATGTAATTACTGTAAAGTGTTAGGCGCTAGGTGTCAAAAGCAAAGGTGGTTCAGGAGGGGAAAACCTTACAGCTGCCAGGATTAATTGTGATATAGGAAAAATAGGGGTGGTTGGTTTTTGCTGCACAACTCCCCAAGAGACTGAGTCCTCAGGGGTGAAGGAAGGCGTCGTGGCACCCAGGGCAGGCGTCGCTATGTAGGGCGCATGTGCGTATGTAGCGATGCCGCACATGTGCTGTATAGCGGTTTGCAGCCGGTGACGCTCCAGCGCCGTATGGCTCCCACGCCCCCCCCCCTGTTGCAACGCCACTGAGTCCCCTAAGTCCATGATTGATCAGAGATGAATGGATGGAGGCAGGATGCAGTGAAAGCAAGGCTGATTTTTATTTTTTCTGTTGCAACAGAGTTCCCTCCCCTCTTGGCAAGAAGGCAAGAGAGAGCCAGAAGCATTAAGAAACATCTCTTTTAAGGGTTTGCATTTTGGCACCCCTCCTCTACAAACAGTTTGGATTGGATTGGATTGATCTTTATTACGGCCATTGGCCCGTCACACGACAGTTTCCCATACCAACATAATGTACTTGAACCTCCAAATTTAAAACCGTCAAAACTTACAAAAAACAGACAAGAACCAAAGCAGAACAAAAACAAAAGACCAACATCATACATTACAATATATTTGTAACATAAACATCACCCTCTGCTCATAAATTAATAGAAGACATCAATGGTGATATCACCTAGTTACATCCTAAAACATAGGTCATGGTTTAAAGGGATTTTCCGAGCCGCACAGGAGTCCGTTTCTCTTCTTTAGGGATAGGGCGCTGATCAAGAATCTGGCAACCGTGAGTGATCTTAGGGGGTCATCATCATTTAATAGATATCTCAGTTTGGCCTCATTCGTATCATAGGCAATTCCCTTTAGATATTGAGCAAGAAACTTGCTCCTGGCCGATGAGTGAAAAGCACAATCAAAAATTATGTGATGCAACGATTCCGGTGCCCCACAATTACAATCACATAAGAGCGATATCTGCCTCTACAAACAGTCAGAAATCACATATAAGGTGGGGTTGCTGTGGCTCAGGCAGGCCAAGAGGTGATATTCCTGAGGACTGAGCAAGTTTTACATAGTTCCAGACACATTTTACACAAAACATTTGCATTTGATATGACAGTCAGGATGCCCGTCAGACATCCCTCAATGCAGAACATCTGGACAAACGATGACAATTAATACAAAGGAGGTTTATATATATAGGAGAGGAATCCCTTCAGGAACTTCCCGGAATTGCTATCTCCCTATCTGTTCTCAAGTGTAAGGAGGCAGAGGAAATATTGAGGCTCTTTAGGGGAGCCAAGATGGTTTTTGGGTTGCTCTCCTGTACTATTTTAGACATGTGGTTTATATACTTATGTATGTGTGTTTAAAAGGTAAAGGTACCCCTGCCCGTACGGGCTAGTCTTGCCAGACTCTAGGGTTGTGCGCCCATCTCACTCTATAGGCCGTGGGCCAGCGCTGTCCGGAGACACTTCCGGGTCACGTGGCCAGCGTGACATCGCTGCTCTGGCGAGCCAGAGCCGCACACGGAAACGCCGTTTACCTTCCCGCTTGTAAGCGGTCCCTATTTATCTACTTGCACCCGGGGGTGCTTTCGAACTGCTAGGTTGGCAGGCGCTGGGACCGAACGACGGGAGCGCACCCCGCCGCGGGGATTCGAACCGCCGACCTTTCGATCGGCAAGCCCTAGGCGCTGAGGCTTTTACCCACAGCGCCACCCGCGTCCCAATATGTGTGTTTACCTTGTGCAATTATCAACATTTATTCTATATCTGAGACCTTAGAATTCCTTTTTAAAAATTTTATTTATTTGGTTTTTCAGATTAAAATTTCACAGTCACATATACAACATACAACATAAAAGCAAGATTCCAAGGAACCTCTTGGGACTTCCCTCCTCCCCTTTGTGGGTTCTATTGTTAATCATTTCATCCCGCCTCTTTTTATGAAAATCCAAGTCTTTTACCGCTCCATTGTGTCCAAAATTCACCATTAAACTGCAATGGAAACCTTAGGATTCCCATGAAAATTGGGAGGCGGGGTGCTTTAAAAGTCGAGGGCAGCTTGCGGTCTCAGTCTAAACCACTGCGCAAAGCAGATGGGAAGGAATGCTTCGCCGCTGAGTTGCAGCCCATCCCTTAGGAATGAGTACTAGCAAGATCCTAGTCCTCAGGGACTCGCTTGCAGAGCCGCGCTTTCCTGCTGCAGGTGGTCGGGGCTAATAATAATAATAATAATAATAATAATAATTTATTATTTATATCCCGCCCATCTGGCTGAGTTTCCCCAGCCACTCTGGGCGGCTCCCAATCAAATGTTAAAAACAGTACAGCATTAAATATTAAAAACTTGCCTGAACAAGGCTGCTGCGAAATCTCCCATGCAGAGAGAGGGAAAAAAAGTTGGACCTCTCTTGCTTTTTCTGAGTTTCGTATCTCTGCGGGCTTCTCTACCAGCACTTCCGTTTGTCGACCGCGCCCCTCGAGCGGCAGGGCGCATGCGCGGGGTTCTCCGGCTGGCGTCTGCCTGGGGCTGCGAGGAAGATGGCGGCCGGCTGCGGGGCTGGCGCTTGCTGCTGTTGCTGCTGCTGCGGGGAGAGGGAGAGCCGCACCCCGGAGGAGCTGGTGAGGGAGGGGCGCCGGGGGGGCGGGCGTGAGAGCCTGGCTGGAGCCAACACCCTTGCCTGTCCCCATTGTTTGCAGTGTGCTTGGTCTTGGGAGGTGGCCGTAGCAAAGCGGGGGTGCCTCTGAGCATGGGCAGAGTGGGCTTCCCTCTTCCAGCGAGTCTCTGCAAAACCCTCAGCTCCTGCAGATATGCACGTGGGTGTGTTTGCAGCGATTCACTGGAAAGGGAAAAACCGCTCTGTGCATGCTCAGAGGCAGCCCACCTGCTTTGCTGCAGCTGTAAAATCTTCTCCCTTGGGGCATGCATGTCTGAGGGAGGGGGTGCTTCTGTGCATGTGCAGAGTGCTTCTCCAATGGGTCACTCTGAAGCCCCCCCCAATATATCTGAGGGTTTTCTCTATATGAATTGGCACTGGGAGGGGGCATTGCAGTGACTCATTGGAAAGGGAAAACTGCACCCTACATGCTCAGAGACGCACCTGCTTGTCATGTCTATATAAATATTCTGTCTTGGGGCATACATCTCTTAAGGGGGATGCTTTTGTGCATGTACAGAGTTCCTTTCCAATGGGTCATTGCAGTAATACTTGTTTATCTCACATGTATAGACAGGATTATATTCCACGTTAGTTCTAGTCAAAGCAGAACCATTCAAATTGTTGGACATGTTTTCCTAGAAGCCTATTAGTTTCAATGGGTTTACTCTCAATAGGCTGTTGTCGGAAGCAACCCATCTTGGGTACTGGAGTGAGGTGTCTGCAGCATCTAATGTAATAACTTGAAAGCCTTTTTTTTGTTTTCAAATGTATGGAATAGCATGTACTTAAACATTTCTGTGACTGTTTACACCCTGATAAAGAACTAGTGCTTTCTTGAAAGATGCAAACTTTTAAATGGGGGTATGCAGTAATGGAAAGACATTCAGTGATATTGGAGGGTGATATTGGAGAATTCTGATATTTACCAGTTGAGAATCCACTGAGCACCTTTGGTAAATGTACAGATGTCACCTTCTGGGGTGTCAGAATGCAGGTTCCTGACAAACATTTTTGCTGTAGTCTATTGAATCTCTTACAGTTCTTAGGAGACCCTCTATTTACCCCCAGAGCTACAATTTTCAGAGTTCCCTGGGAAGATGGGAATGACTGTTAAACCACTCTGGAAATTGTAGCTGTTTGAGGAGAGTGGTCTCTTTCCTCACTATTCTCAGCACCCATAACAAACTACATTCCCAGGATTCTTCAGGGAGTCGTTGTTTTAAAGTAGCATAATAGTGCTTTAAATGTGTAGAGCAGATGGGGCCTTACTATCACAGTTCATTCTTTTTTCTTTTCTTTTTTAAAGTAAACCCAAAATACATGAAATTAAAGGCTGATTGTCTTAGATCCGGGGTTGCCAATTCATTGTCAGTGCTGAGTCTAAGAATTTTCTGGGCAGCCTGAAATGAGTGGCGAGCGTTGGTTTGTAAGCTGTGTGAGTTAATGGTGATGTCTGTTGGCAATGCAATGTGTCTTGGACACACAGTTGATACTGGGAGAGATCTGCTCCTCTAAGTACTTGAGTCCCAAGCAATTTAGGTCTTTCTACACCAGCACAGACCATATAAGCTAGTTTAGTGTACCACCCATGTGCCTTCCAGATGTTCGTGGCTACAAATGCTGTCCAGGACTGATGGGAGTTGTAGTTTCTGGATACCAGGACTGATGGGAGTTGTAGTCCAAAGTTTCTGGATACCACCTGTTTGTCAAACTATATTAGTTGTTCCATATATTAGCTCCTTTTTAAAAAACAAACAAAAATGCTGGTTTTAATTTATATGTTTGCTTAAAATATTGTAAGTCGCTTTGAATTGCCATGGCAAAAAGCAACTAATAAATTTAATTAATAATTTTATATGTGTGTGTGTGTGGCTAAGAGGTTGCATTTTATTGCCTCCTTGTTGCATATTGATCTCCCTATTTTATTTTGTTCTTAAACTGAGGCGTTTTGCAGGGTATGGTTTATTTATGGTTCTTATGGTTAGGCTGAGAGGCAGTGACTGGCACAAGGTCTCCCAGTAAGCGTCATGCCTGAGTGGGAATTTGAACCCTGGTCTTCTAGGACCTAGTTCTTGACACTCTTAACCATTACACCACAGGGGTTGTGGAAAGTGTTTCCTGGTTTTTGTTTTTTTGTCCGTTTGGGGGAGTTCGAGACTGCAGGTGGTTTGCCTGTTTGGGGCAGCAAGCTCTGACTATTACTCAGTTTTCCTTCTGTGAAATGGGTGCCCACAACAAATTTTTCCAGCGTACCTTCCAGGTTCCCAAAAGTTGGGGACCACTGGATTACCCCAGTATCAAACAACAATGCTTTGAAAAAGAATTGTTGTGGATCAACTTGACTTCCATTTACTTCTGAGACTTGGTACCCTTAACTCTATTGGATCCCTATCAATCAAAATGGAAAGCTACATGATATAAAAAGCTGGGGTTTTCGCCACAGGCACTGATAGCCACAGGATGTGAGAAAGCCAGAGCAACCATTTGCCAATGAATCTGGGACATGGAATTTCAGAGTCATGTGAGTGAGATGAATAAGCACCCAGCAATCAAAGACAATGGGAGAGGTTTTACCCCAGCAGTATATCTGACAAAATTACAAATATCTAAATATAGATGGTCGTTCACCCTCACTAGATTCAACATGCTGCCACCTGCCTTATTACAGGGCAGATATGTGGGTAAACCATATGCGGATATGTTTCAGTGTATCTGAAGAAGTGGGCATGCACACGAAAGCTCATACCAAGAACTAACTTAGTTGGTCTTTAAGGTGCTACTGGAAGGAATTTTTTTTGTTTTGACATATGCGGAGCTGATAGAGGTGGAAACCGTCTCTCATGTCTTGCTACGATGTTTTTATATATGTTCGATCTTTATCACCCCTGTTATACAGAAAATTCCAAGTGGGTCTGAACCTCAATGCTTAAAATCCCTGATAGTGGATAAGGATCCAGAGATCATGCTAAGGGTGACCAAACTTTGCGCGGCTGCCATAAAACTCAGGGAACAAGCTGTGTTGTTACAAAGACTAAGGCCTCAGATGCAAACTATAGATAATAATTTAGAGACTAAGACCTAAATCACATTTCTAATGACTTGTCATATTAGTATCGTTTATTGTCATATTCGATTATTAATTCACACTTGATTCTGTTGTGTTTGATGTTCGCTTAGTACGGTATGTGAATCTGGTCTGGGACCGTAATAAATTTCATTCATTCACTTCTGAAACTTTTGATTTGTTTCCCAGACTATCCTTGGAGAAACTGAGGAAGAAGATGACGAGATTCTCCCACGTAAGGACTATGAGGTGAGCAGTGATGGTTTCGTCAATGGGCAATTAAAAGAAACAGATGAGTGGGGATTAAGAAGCATAGGCTCGTGTGAAGGGTATGTGTGCATCCACAAATGTTGGATATATAAGCCAGGTACCAAACAGCACCTTAAATCTAGGTTACAGTTGCCACAATGGGATGTCTGTTTGCCAGGGGGTTGGACTGGATGACCTTCAGGGTCCCTTCCAACACTACAATTCTATGGTTCTATGACCTCAACTCCATTGCTTGACTGTAGCTTGCTCTTGTGACAATTCACTTGTCCCAGGATGCAAGAAGGAGAAATGCACACAGTGGAAATGGCAATGAGATTAACCATGAACTAAGGCTAGGGACGCGGGTGGCGCTGTGGGTTAAACCACAGAGCCTAGGGCTTGCTGATCAGAAGGTCGGCGGTTCGGATCCCCACGACGGGGTGAGCTCCCGTTGCTCGGTCGCTGCTTCTGCCAACCTATCAGTTCGAAAACACGTCAAAGTGCAAGTAGATAAATAGGTACCGCTCCGGCGGGAAGTTAAACAGTGTTTCCGTGCACTGCTCCGGTTCGCCAGGAGCAGCTTAGTCATGCTGGCCACATGACCCGGAAGCTGTACGCCGGCTCCCTCGGCCAATAAAGCGAGATGAGTGCCGCAACCCCAGAGTCAGTCACAACTGGACCTAATAGTCAGGGGTCCCTTTACCTTTTAAGGCAGAGCTTCTTAGACTGTGGTTGCCAAAATGGTGCCCGGAAATCTCCACGTAATTGCAGTTGTACCCCGTGCCGGTAATATAATAATAATAAAAATTATTTATGCCCACCCTCCCCAGCCAAGACTGGGCTCAGGGCGGCTAACACCAGATAAAAAACAATTGATTAAGATACCACTTAAAAACAAGATTAAAATACAACATTAAAACGCAGCCTCATTTCAATAGAAACTCAAATCAAAAACTTTTTGGGGATGAAAACGTCAAATCTTCACCAAGGCCAACTATTCAGACTGGTCCTACGTGGGCCAGAAAAAAGCCAGGGGAGTCCCCAAATAGGAGTTCCATCACAAAAGGAAAGAGGGGGCCTGGCTAATTTCTAAACCCTTCTCTGAACTTAGACCATTGCTTGACTTTACTCCCCCTAACTATCTTTAACGCAGGATGGGGGCTATTGGCCATGTCAACAGAGTCTAATGATCTCTGGAAGGCCACAGCTTCTCCCTCCCGGCAACTTCTGTCTGGAGTAAGAAATTTCTTTTCGAAAATGTGAGTGTGAATGTAGCGGTTTTTGCTCTCTTCCCCCTGTATTATGGGTTGTGTTCAAATGCGTTTGCTTTTCTTTCCCACCCACCTGCAGAGTTTGGACTATGATCGTAGCATCAACGAACCCTACTTGGAAGTTCTGGAAAGCCTTGACAGCAAGGTAAGATGGTGTAGGGAAGTTACGGTCATGGGAGTAATCAGTTTCTGCTGTTTTAGTCTTGATCAGCTAGCTTTAGGGCTTGCCAGCATGGTACTTGTTGCTGTAGTTGAGGTCTCCCCTTAGTTACACATAAAGCCACAGAGATCCTCCATTCATTTCCTTCATGGTCATGAGGAGGCGAGGGCTATTACCTTTTCCTTCCTTGAAGAGTGCAATAGAGTTGCAGGAGGAATTTGGAAGGATGACACTCTTTCTCACTTCCTCTTTCAGTTCTGTGGACTTTTCAATGCTCAGATTAATTCTACTGGATCTGACTTTTGCTCTGGGTAGATTTGATTTAAATCAAACTGATTTAAATCACTAGTCAGTAAGACTTGATTGAAACCAACTTTTTTTACAGAAAGACTCAGTCTTGCTGGTATAATCGTAATGTTTACAGCCAGATAGAGGTTTCATTTTTGGAATAATAAATTTTCAGAGTAGTTTTTACAGTTACATCAAAAGTAACTGATTTGGTTATACTATTAGAAATACATAGATAATTATGAAATTATTGTGAGGTTTAATAAGTTAACTGTTTATATTTGGACAACTGTTCTGCTGTGCTTTATTGGAAGGAGAAAAATAGTTATTTCCTTAATAGCAATTTTAAGCCATTTAACTAAAACAATAACATTATAGTATACTTATCCATGTTTGTTAACTGATGTGGTTAAACATTTTTTTAAAAAAAGAAAACCGTAGACTGAGTTTTAGCACACATGAAAAACTTAAAACAAAGCCTTATTTCCTGATGAATAGCCTTTGGACAATAATGTAACTTAAATAGAAAACGATCTTTAGAAAGATTTTTCCTCCAAAAACATTTTATTTTAAAAATCCGATTTAAATGAAAAAAATAATTGATTTTTATCCACCCTGCTTTTACCCCAATCCTTTGAAAGAGGTGTGTGTGTGTGTGTGTGTGTGTGTGTATGTATGTATGTGGCTCAGGCCAGAGAAGTGGTGACGGCACATGATTCCCAACTCTGTCTTTTTCCCCTCTCTCGCAGAAAGGCTGGCGGTATGAAGCGGTGAAGTGGATGGTGGTTTTTGCCATTGGAGTCTGCACTGGGATGGTGAGGGTCCTCGCTAGCTTGCTTCCTCCAGTGAAGGGCAGACGCAATGCTAGTCCTACTCAGACTAGACCCATCGTATCCCATTCTTTACAGAGTAGACCCTGTCTACTCATTTAAAGCACTAGGATGCCACTTTAAACAGCCGCAGCTTCGCCTAAAGGATCCTGGGAACCGAAATTTGTTAAGGGGGCTAAGGGACCCCTTTCCCCATTGCAGAACTACAATTCCCAGAGTTCCATGGGGAGAGGGACTGATTCTTCTCCATCACACACATTTTCAAAGGGCATTATTGCTTTGCATTTGTTTTATTAATAATGGTGTCGTGGCATGGGGAAGAAGAGTTATGTGTTGTTGTTGTTTTTTTAAAAAAAGATATTTATTAAAAGTTTAACAATTACAAAAAAAGAAAAAAAGAAAAGACAATAAAAAGTTACAATACATCAAAAAAGAAAAAAACAAGATATAAAACAATACAGCACAACAATAATAAAAAAGAAAGAACAAAAAAACATTTAAGAACAAAACATTTAAAACACATCTAGTATTTTCATATCTTTGTCTTTCATTTACTTGTTTCATCGACCTCCTCGCACCTCCCTTTTTTGTATTCTAATTCAATTTAGCTATTTCAGCAAATCCTTTCCATCTTTCTCAATTTTTGTTCTATAATTTACCTTAACCCAATCTGACCTTAAATTTTACACTTTGGCCCATTAACAATCCATTTTTACATTATTCTTTATAACATTTCTGCTAAAACCATGTAACTTCATTCCAACATCCTTCTAACATTCATTAATTTTGCTGTATTTTTGTAAATATACTTTAAATTTCTTCCAATCTTCTTCCACCGACTCTTCTCCCTGGTCTCGGATTCTGCCAGTCATTTCCGCCAGTTCCATGTAGTCCATCACCTTCATCTGCCATTCTTCCCGGGTGGGTAGATCTTGTGTCTAGAAGAGTTATATGTTAAATCGCTCTGGGAATTGTAGCTCCGTGAGGGGGAATAGGGGGTCTCTGAATAATTCTCAGCACCCTTAACAAACTACACCTCCCAGGATGCTTTGGGGGAAGTAGAATCGTCTGGTTTTTCTGTGGCTTGAACATATCCTAGTATACACGTATTAATTTGGCCCATTTTTTTGCCTCTGGACCTGCTCACCACTCATGTTTGTTTATTTATTTTTTATCTATTATTATTGCATTTATATCTTTCATTTCCTCCAAGGATCTCAATGTGATGTACATGGTTCCACCTCTCTTTCCTTGTTTTATTCTCAGAACAACCCTTTGAGGTAGGTTAGGCAGAGAGACAGTGACAGGCCTAAGATTACTTAGCAAGCTTCATGGCTGAAGGTTGAACCCTGATCTCCAAGGTCCTAGGCTGGCACTCTGACCGCTAGGCCACACTTCCCTGCGGCCCCCGGTAGGATGAAGAACGTTCCCTTTTCTGCTGCAATGTAATGGTGCTGGTCTTCATTTCCTTAACCCCCTCCTCCTCCTCTTCTCCTCTCACAGGTTGGTCTCTTTGTGGACTTCTTTGTACGACTCTTCTCCAGACTCAAGTTCCACATCGTGCAGAATTGTATCCACCTTGGTTTTGTCATTTCAGTGGCCTCTCTAATTGAGGCAGTGGCTGGGTTGAACAGGAGAACCCAAGGAAGTATTTTTGAGAGTTGGTCTGAGAAGCCTTGGCTTGGCTTCGATTGAGACGCTTGATTTATGTGACCTGCCCACACCGCTTAGATTCAGGGTGGGAAGGAGTAATGATCACCTGGAGATGCTTCTTGCATGTTTGCCAAACTGGAGTAAGCCAATGAGATCATCGGTGTTAACAGAATATTTTATTTTATTTCTCAAAGCAGTGCAGATAAATGAAAATGAGTGAAGACTGTAAAACCAAACTCAAAATCAAAATGCATGATGGAATTAAAATGTCTCTAGTAGGTGCCGGCAGTAAACAGCTACAACAACAACAATTCATTATTTGTACCCCGCTCATCTGGCTGGGTTTCCCCAGCCTCTCTGGGCGGCTTCCACAAAGACCAAAAATACACTAAGATGTTATTATTTCAGCAGGGAGACAGGGCCTGTCTGACCTCAGCTGGGAATGACTTCCATAAAATTGGGCCCACAATACTGAACACATGATTCTTGGTGGCTGTGAGCTGTAGAGCACCACTGGCAGCAACTCCCCCAAAGAATGATTTCAGGATCAGGTGGTCCTTGAGGTATCCTGGTGTCAGACTTCAGGGAATTGGCTCCCCCCCCCCCCTGGCAGTAGATAAGCAGAACAAAGGAAAGGAGCTTTCTTACCAGTTAGAAACTTTAATGATCACAGCGAGAGAACAAAGAATCCATTTCCTAGGAACGGCGGTGCTCCCAATTAAGGGTTCCACTCACTTCCTCCCTAGTCACCCGCTTCACTTTCCACAACTTGTAACCTGATCTTGCAACCACTGTGCTTTCTGTGCTGCCACCGTATCTGCTCTCCTTGACCCTGGGCTGAGGAGCTGCACGCTTTCCAGCGACATTGAGTCTGTTAACTCTCTCTCTCTCCCAGTTCTTCCTCTCCTAGCTGTTCCCCACACAGTACTTCCCAGCTTCTGCCTTCTGAACTATGTCCCTCTGCAAACCACTGTTCCAAATCTATACTGTCGTCCTGCTCCTGGGAAGATTCAGGATCAGGGGGAGGGGAGGCTCCCACCATTCATCCTCAGAGCAGCCCTCCTCAGCACGGTCCCTGACACATGGACTTGAGTTGCTAAGGGCCTTGTAAATTAATGCAGGGAACTTTAACCTTGCCCACTTGCATGTGGAGAGACGGTGCACACTTTGGAGCACCAAGGTTACATGCTGGTAAGTCTGTCCCCCACGGCATTTTGCACCAGCTGCAGCCTCCAGCCCAGCCCAAGGAGAGCTCTGCAGAGCGCACACTGCAGTAATCGAGTTTTGAAGTTGGGGAACCTCTGACCCATAGGCCATATTCGGCCTTCCAGGTCCCTCAGTGCCCTCGAACCCTGATAATGTTTCTGGTTTGCCTGGATGGAGCAAAAAGAAGTGTGCGCAAGATTGTGGGTAGAAACTAGGTAAAGGTAAAGGGACCCCTGACCATTAGGTCCAGTCGTGGCCGACTCTGGGGTTGCAGCGCTCATCTCGCTTTATTGGGCCGAGGGAGCCTGCGTACAGCTTCCGGGTCATGTGGCCAGCAGGACTAAGCTGCTTCTGGCGAACCAGAGCAGCGCACAGGAAACGCTGTTACCTTCCCGCCGGAGTGGTACCTATTTATCTACTTGCACTTTGACATGCTTTTGAACTGCTAGGTTGGCAGGAGCAGGGACTGAGCAACAGGAGCTCACCCCGTTGCGGGGATTTGAAACCGCCAACCTTCTGATCGGCAAGCCCTAGGCTCTGGGTTTAACCCACAGCGCCACCCGCGTCCCGTGTAGAAACTAGCCTACCATAAAAAGGTAAAATGCGCATTGGTTGCTCAGCCCACTTCTGCCTCTGGCCCCGCCCGGCACGTGGCCCCTAGGAGCTTGCCCAGAAGGGAGTGCGGCCCTCAGACTGATTTACAAGTTCCTTGCCCCTGTAATGTGGGCAGGCTGGCCGTGCCCATTTCTGTGGCTCTGTCCCTGAAGCAGCGTGGGTTGAAGCAGTTGTTCTTTGCCGATAAATGGGAACTCTAGTTGCATAGGTCAGCTGGGATAAAGCAGAGAGGTCTTCCCAGGCTGGCTGCGTCCATTTCCTTGACTCTCGCCCTGCAGCGGTGGAGGAGTGCAGCGAGAAAGGCTGCCTTGCGGTGTCCCTGCTGGAGCTCCTCGGCTTTAACCTGACCTTCATCTTCCTGGCCAGCCTCCTCGTCTTGATCCAGGTAATACGGAGCAGCCAGCCGGGCTTGGAAGTTCTCCAGTGTGCAGAATTTTCTGTAGGCCAGTCTTCCCACATGAACCTGAGTTAAGTCGTTTGTGGGAAAAGGGAAAGAACTTGGGAGGGCGTTCCACAGTGAGGGTGCTACTACTGAGAAGGCCCTTTGCCTGGTTCCTGTAGCTTGACTTTTCACAGGGAGGGAACCGCCAGAAGGCCCTCGGAGCTGGACCTCAGTGTCCGGGCTGAATGATGGGGGTGGAGATGCTCCTTCAGGTATACTGGGCTGAGGCCGTTTAGGACTTTAAAGGCAGCACCAACGAATTGTGCTCCTAAGCGATTCAAGAACACCACTTGTGCCATTGTAAGTACATTTGTGGGTCAGAAATATGAACCTCCTTTGATTCATATTTTGCCTGGGTCTCGACCAATTCACCGCCTTATTCATTTGGAAGATTAATATGCCATTTGATCAAAGAGCTTGCCAACAAAATGGTAAAATGAAACCTGGCGAAAATCCACAAACCAATTACAGTGGTACCTCGCAAGACGAATGCCTCGCAAGACGGAAAACTCGCAAGACGAAAGGGTTTTTTGTTTTTTGAGCTGCTTCGCAAGACGATTTTCCCTATGGGCTTGCTTCGCAAGACGGAAACGTCTTGCAAGTTTGTTTCCTTTTCTTAACATCGTTAATACAGTTGCGACTTGACTTCGAGGAGCAACTCATAGCACGCCGTGTGGTAGCCTTTTTAGAGGTTTTTGAAGACTTTGGTGATTTTTGAAGCTTTTCCAAAACTTTTCCGACACCGTGCTTCGCAAGACGAAAAAAACCGCAAGACGACAAAACTCGCGGAACGAATTAATTTTGTCTTGCGAGGCACCACTGTAAAAACAAACAATACCTAAAACCACCATCATTAAAAAGACAAACAAACCAAAATCAATAACACTTGAAAAAACACACAAATATAGGTACATAGGGATATAGGCAGCCGTCTAATTCTGAGGTTCCTGTGGTCCAATCCGGTTCAGCCTTGGTTCCCTGACTGGCAGCGATTCTCCAGGGTTTCAGATTGGGCTCTCTGTCCCAGCCCTACCTTAAAAAGCCTGGAATTAAATCTGGGCCCTTCTGTGTGCAAAGCAGGTGATGTGCGGCTGTGCTTTGGTCCTTCCCCTAAAGAAAAACTAAGATCCTAGTCCTCGTGATTCTGAGCAGAGGGCTGATTTAAATAGAAACCTAGGAAGCTCATCATACTGAGTCAGACCACTGGTCTACCTAGCTCTTTGTTCTCTACACTGACTGGCGCTCTAGGGATTTTGGCAAGGGTGGTTACCCCCAGCCTTACCTGGAGGTTGCTTCCAAGATTTGAGCCTGGGCCCTTCTACATGCAAAGCAAGTGCCCTGCTCCTGAGCTGTGGTCCTTCTCCTTTCAGCCTGTGGCTGCGGGTTCTGGGATTCCGGAGATCAAATGCTACTTGAACGGAGTGAAGGTCCCTGGGATTGTTCGCCTCCGGACTCTGGTGTGCAAAGCTCTCGGGGTGCTCTTCAGCGTCGCTGGAGGTAAGGGGGGACCTGTCCCCTGTGGGATTCTGCCCCTACCTGCATGACACTTTCTGTTCTGTCTCTTATCCTTCCAGCTCCCAGATCTTGGCTTTTATAGAGAACTCACCTACCTGTCTCTTTTTTCCAGGTCTCTTTGTTGGGAAGGAAGGTCCCATGATCCACAGCGGTGCTGTGGTAGGAGCCGGTCTGCCTCAGGTGAGTGCCAGCAGAGGTGGTGTCTTGCTAAATGCCAGGTGGCTCTTTTAATGAGATTCAGAAGCAATACAAACACAAATGAGTGAGAAGATTAAAGATTTTATTCTGAGCAGCAATCATTATGTACATTACCAAGCAAGCACTTTGATCTGCCACTGGGAAGCCCTCAAGAAGTGGTGAAGTGACTCCCAGGTAACCCTCTGGCTATGAGTTCGTACACGAGCTTTACAAAGAACTATGTCCCCAAACCATCCGATTTATAGATCCTAACTTGTTAGCCTACGTGCCTTGCCCGACTAGCTACTGCAGATTATTAATTAGCTAGCCCCCTCTTCCAATACTGCATGTTCCTCCAAGCAATGTCTAACATCAGAGAAGGTCAGAAGGTACCCTGCTTTATCACTTCTTCCTTCCACCAGATTATACATTAAAGGCTGCTATCAGCCATCAAAGAACTTTAACGAGATAGAGAGAGGAAGTACAGTGGTACCTCGCAAGACGAATGCATCGCAAGACGGAAAACTCGCAAGAAGAAAGAGTTTTCCGTTTTTCGAGGTGCTTCGCCAGACGAATTTCCCTATGGGCTTGCTTCGCAAGAAGAAAGCCCATAGGGAAATCTCCGGGGACCTCTTTTAAAATGCTGGCGGTCGGGAGCAAAGACTTTCGCCCACCGCCGGCCTTCAGAAGAGGTCCTGGACCTCTTCTGAAGGCCGGCGGGGGGGGCGAAAGTCTTTGCCCCCCCGCCTGCCTTCCCGGGACAGCGGAGACTTCTCCGCTGTCCCAGGGCGATCTTAAAATGCTGGCGGGCGGCAGCAAAGCCTTCGCTGCCACCCGCCAGCATTTTAAAATCGTCCCGGGACAGCGGAGGCTTTGCTGCCGCCCGCCAGCATTTTAAAATCACCCCGGGACAGTGGAGAAGTCTCCGCTGTCCCGGGGGCTTTTAAAATGCTGGCGGTCGGCAGCAAAGCCCTCCTGTCCCCGGAGCTTGCGGGGCGGGAGGTGGGGAGAAGGGCTTTTCTTCCCACCGCCAGCCTTCAGAACAGCCTTCTGAAGGCTGGCGGTGGGAAGAAAAGCCCCTGCCCCCCCAGCCTTCAGAAGAGGTCGGGGGACAGACTGTCCCCGGACCTGGTCTGAAGGCGGTTTCTATAGGAACGCATTGATTGATTTTCAATGCATTCCTATGGGAAACCGTGCTTCGCAAGACAAAAAACTCGCAAGAAGAAAAAACTCGCAGAACGAATTAATTTCGTCTTGTGAAGTACCACTGTAAACAGATGCAGGAATGAAACGAGCAGGAAGAGATGACCATGTCAGATCACTAAACTCATTGGAATTGCAAATATCTTCCGGATAGATTGCCCATACAGGTGGTCAGTCCGTGCCCATTTCTGAGCTTGCAACAGGGATTCCCTGCAGGCTTTCAAGTCTCTCATGAGAGCTTAGAGACTTAACCCTTTTCAAGATTCCAAGAAGTGGAACTCTGTTCTTAGATTTCTGTCTCATGAATTTGTGCTTGCCTCTAAGGACCTGAGCTCTCTTCCCAGTTCATTTGTGTGTGGGTCCTCAAAGGGGATCACGGTTTATATGCAGAGCACGGTCTACAGTAATTGTGTGTGTTTGTAGCCATATTGTTCAGCTTCTGAATTGTTATTTCTCTCTTTTTCTGCCCAGTTCCAGAGCATCTCTTTGAGGAAGATCCAGTTCAACTTTCCCTATTTCCGCAGCGATAGGTACATTACCAAATCAGGGTGGGGATGTGGTGGTGGTGATGGTGGTGGTGATTTCAAATGTTCTATCTTAAGAGGTGCATCTTCATATCTGTGGTTTATGCCACACTTGGGCAAGGAGGTAAGTGGGTGGACTGATGGCGAATCGCTGGCTAGTTTCTGGAGAAAACCTGATTCACATTTAAAGGAGAGAGCTATTCTTACATGCTCATGGGAACTGGCGCTCACAGTCAAAGAAGTTGGGTCTAACGCACATTCATCAGCTGACAAATGGGGGTTAAATCCTGCACAGCTTGGCTGTGCATGCCTGTTCCCCAGCTGCAAACAGGCACCTGCAGCCCAAAGCACAGCACGGGGCTACTTGAAAGCACTTTTGCAAACAGCCTTTTCCCAGAGCCCCACGCTGCACTTTGAAGTCCCAACAATTGGGGCTTCAAAGCACACTGTTGCCTGATTTCACTATGATGTGAGGTGATGGATCCCACCCCCCCCCAGCCAAAAAGGTTCCCTGTCGTTGCCCCAGCCTCTTTTGTTAAGAAACATCTCCTAGGAAAAGCTCACTAACTGTGTGAAAGCTTTAAATGGAACGTGATACTCTGATGACTTTATACAAGTGCTTACCATTCTATTACCTTTTTGACTACAATTCCATGACAGAGCATTCTCCACTAACACATAAAAAGTTGCGGGATAATGCATTTCACTAATGACAATGTTTATAACCTACTTCTGGCATGTGTTCCTGCAGCATCTAAAGCTTGATTGGAAACCGATCAAAACATTCTTTAAAAAGAAAACACTCTCCCGATTTCTCCCTCAATTTTTCTCTTTTCCTAGGGACAAGAGGGATTTTGTTTCTGCTGGAGCTGCTGCTGGTGTGGCTGCAGCCTTTGGGGCCCCAATTGGTGGCACACTCTTCAGCCTCGAAGAGGGCTCGTCCTTCTGGAACCAGGGCCTGACGTGGAAAGTGGTGAGGCCCTAAAGGGATGATTTATCACAAGTCACTGGTTGAAAAATGAGTCTTTGGGAGGAAGACTATACCACATCTTTTAGGTAGGGCTGGCTCTGAAGACAGTTCGGAAACTTCAGCTGGTGCAGAATTCAGCAGCCAGGTTGCTCACCGGAGCAAGATGGTTTGAGCATATTACACCAATCCTGGTCTTTAGTTCACTATCTACCAATTAGTTTCTGGGCCCAATTCAAAGTGCTGGTTTTGACCTATAAAGCCTTAAACGGCTCAGGACTGGAATTCCTCAAGGCCTGCCTCTTTCCATATGAACCTACCTGAACCCTGAGATCACCTTCTGAGGCCCTCCTTCATGTGCCTCCTCCTCGAGAGGTCCGGAGGGTGGCAACACAAGAGCGGGGCCTTCTCTGCAGTGGCTCCCCGTCTGTGGAATGCTCTCCCCAGGGAAGTTCACCTGGCGCCTTCATTATACACCTTTAGGCGCCAGGCAAAAAACATTCCTTTTTAACCAAGCCTTTGGTTGACTTGATTGACATCCTATGCCCTTTAAAAATGTTGTGGCTTTTTTGGAGGGGTGTGTGTGTTATTAGATTGTCATTTTTATTCTGATTATACATGCTGTCATCTTTTCTGTGAACCGCCCTGAGACCTCAGGGTATAGGCACCACCCCTTAAAAATAGTACATTCTCTCTCCCCTTTCCCAGCTGTTTTGTTCTATGTCTGCCACCTTCACTCTGAACTTCTTCCGCTCCGGGATCCAGTTTGGAAGTTGGGGTTCCTTCCAGCTCCCAGGATTGCTGAATTTTGGGGAGTTCAAGGTAGGTATCGCTTGACATAAAATGCGTGGCACGGAGAAATTGGAGCAAGGAAGGTTTTTCTCCCTTTTAACATTAGACCTCGTGGGTATCCTGTAGGAATGATCGCTGGGTGCGGAGCACACTCCCTGCCCGTGGGCAGCCTCAGCTGCTTGCACATGTGACCTTGGATTGCGGGGCACACGCCCCCTCACAGATAAAGCCACAGCTGTCTGAACATCTTGCCCTCTGTCTAGAATCATAGAGTTGGAAGAGACCACAAGGGCCATTGAGTCCAACCCCCTGCCAAGCAGGAAACACCATCAGAGCACTCCTGACATATGGTTGTCAAGCCTCTGCTTAAAGACCTCCAAAGAAGGAGACTCCACCACACTCCTTGGCAGCAAATTCCACTGCCGAACAGCTCTTACTGTCAGGAAGTTCTTCCTAATGTTTAGGTGGAATCTTCTTTCTTGTAGTTTGGATCCATGGCTCCGTGTCCGCTTCTCTGGAGCAGCAGAAAACAACCTTTCTCCCTCTTCTATATGACATCCTTTTATATATTTGAACATGGCTATCATATCACCCCTTAACCTCCTCTTCTCCAGGCTAAACATGCCCAGCTCCCTTAGCCGTTCCTCATAAGGCATTGTTTCCAGGCCTTTGACCATTTTGGTTGCCCTCCTCTGGACACGTTCCAGTTTGTCAGTGTCCTTCTTGAACTGTCTAACCTTTTGCCATCTCAGTAGTCTGCCGTGTCCTGTCTGTGACCTTTGTCTCTGAGACCTTTTGTCTCCTTCGTCATACACTGAGCAAGGGGGAAATGACACGGTGGAAACAGGTGCCAAAATAATTTTGTACCACCCCACGATCTCGGGACTGGAAGATGTGTAAAGGTCACAGCCCAAAATGTATCTGCCTGGGTTTGCATATTGTGTCAATAAAAGGAGCCTCCACAGAGCTGGCCGGCAGCTTGCTTGCAGCTCACCTGTGCGCAGCTCACCTGCATTATCAACTCCTGCCTCATGTCCCTCACTTCAGTATCCAATGGAAGATCTGTGACAGATAAACAAAAGCCCTTCACACAGCACATAGTTAAACTATGGAACTCAATCCCGCGGGAGGGAGTGAAGGTCACCGACTTGGGCGGCTTTGAAAGAGGATTAGAGAAATTCATGGAGGAGAAGGCTATCAATAGCTACTAGCCATGATTTCTGTGCTCTGCCACCATGATGGGAGGCAGTCATGGTCCTGAAGACCAGTTGCTGGAAACCACAGGGGGGAGAGTACGCTTGCTCTCGGGTCCTGTTTGTGGACATCTGATTGGCCAGTGTGTGAGCAGGATGCTAGACTAGATGGGCCACTGGCTGGCTCCAGAAGGTCCTTAACAACAACAACAACAACTTTATTATTTATACCCCACCCTGTTGGCTATTTGCGGATCAGTTGCACTGCAGAAGGCGTGCTGGGGAGACCACACATTTCAAGAAACGCAAAAGTAACTTTTGCTAGGTTTTAATAACAAAAACTCCTTTTACACTAAATTACAATATATCAATAAGCATGACCCATCCACCAGGGTACTGAGAGAGCTACATGCTACTCTTTATATACCATACCCAACAGATTAATAAACCTAACAGCACCTGCTATACTGCTTCACAGCTGTAAAACTAGGTCATGTTATTTGCTCTGGCCTTTAAAGAAATACACATCTTGTGGAACAATAATGAACCTTCAAATTTAAAGAGACCATTCAACACACCCATCTGGCTAGGTTTCCCCAGCCACTCTGGGCGGCTCCCAACATAATATTAAAAACACAATAAAACATCAAACATTAAGAACTTCCCTAAACAGGGCTTCCTTTAGATGTCTTCTAAAAGTCAGGTAGTTGTGTATTTCCTTGACATCTGATGGGAGGGTGTTCCACAGGGCGGGCGCCACTACCGAGAAGGCCCTCTGCCTGGTTCCCTGTAACCTCATATCTCGCAGGGAGGGAACCGCCAGAAGGCCCTTGGAGCTGGACCTTAGTGTCCGGGCTGAACGATGGGGTGAAGACGCTCCTTCAGGTATACAGTGGTACCTTGGGTTACGTACTTAATTCGTTCCGGAGGTCCGTTCTTAACCTGAAACTGTTCTTAACCTGAAGCACCACTTTAGCTAATGGGGCCTCCTGCTGCTGCTGTGCCGCCGGAGCCTGATTTCTGTTCTCATCCTGAAGCTAAGTTCTTAACCTGAAGCACTATTTCTGGGTTAGCGGAGTCTGTAACCTGAAGCGTAGATAACCTGAAGTGTATGTAACCTGAGGTACCACTGTACAGGGACAAGGCCATTTAGGGCTTTAAAGTTAGGTTCTTATTTAGAAACAGTGCAGTTATTAAAAGTGGCCATGAAAATTAACAGCGTGTCAGTACATAAAGCACAGGCTGTCTCTAGCCTCTGCAGGAAAGAAACGAGCATAACTTACTAGCAACCCAGAGTGAGGCTTTAACATAACATGACCCGGTTAACAAGCAAGCGCTTGTGAAAGTGACATGGAGTGGAAAACCTATCCCTTTAGCCCAAAAAAGAGGTTGCGTCCTCTTTTTTCACCATGTGCCTGCTTCTTGATTTCCCCCCCTCCTTGAAGCATAAAATGAAACGGCTGAACCTGCCTCATTTTCTCCCCGTTGACTCACCTGTTTCCCTTCCTTTCGACTCCACTCCCTCTAGTGCCCGGAATCTGACAAAAAATGCCACCTGTGGACGGCTGTGGACTTGGGCTTCTTCATCCTGATGGGGATCCTGGGCGGCCTCTTGGGGGCTACCTTTAATTGCATCAACAAGAGGCTTGCAAAGTACCGCATGCGGAACGTCCACCCCAAGCCCAAGCTGGTCAGGTACCTGCCCCCTTTACCCTGCCTGTCGTTGTCGTCGTCTTGTTCCACTGCTGCTGCTGCTGCTGCTGTGTGTGTGTGTGTGTGTGTGTGTTTGCAAGAAGGGGGTCAGGGTTGGGAGCCTTGACACATATTGGATGCTCTCCATCCAGGAAAACGAGCGCATTATTACAGGCCAAGGGCACTTACCAGCAAGACAAAAGTTTTTGGGAAAGATGTGATGCAGGGTCAGTGGTTGGGGGGCGTAGCCTGGGGAGGTTCGCCCAAGGGGCAGATAGGAAGGCCTGGGGAGCCACATCTGGTGTCCTCCAGATGTTTGGGACTACATCTCCCATTTTCCCACCCCTGGACCATCTTGGGACAGCCTGTGGCAGGGATTTCTGTGGCTTCCCTGTGGAGGGACTGGTGGTGGGCGGCAGCAGTGTGGAAGGTTGGGCGGCAGCAGCGAGCGGTTCTGAGCCACCGAATTCCCTTGCACGCTTCTCTTGCCTCTTCTCGCTTGCAGAGTCTTGGAGAGCCTGCTGGTGTGTCTAACGACCACCCTTGTGGTGTTTGTCGCTTCCATGGTTCTAGGGGAATGCCGGCCGCTGTCTTCCACCAACCACGGGGGCAACAGCTCTCTTGGCCTGCAGGTAAGAGTGAGAGCCGCAGGCCCTTTCCTTGAGAGAGGGGTAAAAATGATGGCAGTGAACACATTCCTCTGCCCTTAGTTTGAAGTGTACATCCCTCGGTCCCTCTACTACCAACGCTCAGTGTGTGAGTGCCATTCCTTTTTATTTTATTTTATTTTATTTTATTTTTATTCTTATTTTCCCCCATATTTTTTTGATTTTCCAAAAAAAATTTAAACAAACAAACAAACAAACAAACATAAATCTCAACTGTATTAAAACCAAACTTAGTAACATTGTTAAGTGACTTCTTCATATCCCCCTCGTTGAATTTCAGTGTATATCATTTTAACAGTTTTCCAAAACCAGTATTCTTATAAAATTAACTTAATCGCTTAACATCTTTCTTTCTTTCCAATTCCGCATTAAACATATTAATTAATCCTTTTTTAATTTTATTTTTAACTGTTGCTGTCTTGTTACGGGTTAGGATTCTTCATCTGACGAAGTGAATTCCAGCATTAAGACATTCTTCTGCCCAAACGACACTTACAACGACATGGCAACCCTTTTCTTTAACCCTCAGGAGTCCGCCATCTTGCAGCTTTTCCACCAGGAGGGTGAGTGGTCGCTGTGAGGAGCGCAGAGGGCATGCTGGCAGTGCAGCGAAAAAGGCTGCTGCTGGCTTCTTGAAAACCACACCCTGGATATTTTTGGGTGCTCAGGCTGTGAGTGTCATTGTAGCCAAAGGGGGGGGGGAGGAAAACCAATGCACTCTATAAGACTCACTTTTTCCCTCCTAAAAAGTATGGGGAAATGTGTGTGCGTATTATGGAGTGAATGCAGGCTGCGCAGCTATCCCAGAAGCCAGAACAGCAAGAGGGATCACTGCTTTCACTGCGCAGTGATCCCTCTTGCTGTTCTGGCTTCGGATTCTGAATTTTTTTTTTCTTGTTTACCTCCTCCAAAAACTAGGTGCGTCTTGTGGTCTGGTGCGTCTTATAGAGCAAAAAATATGGTAATTCTCAGGCAGAATACCCCAAAATAGCACAGGAAGGACCAACAGGATGCTGGCTAGCTGAGAAGTAGTGGGGTTGTCATGGCTGACTCTACACTCCAACATCTCCCATTAGTTTTGTTTTTTAGCTCTTGTTTTATCTATTAAACTTCCTATTGGACAGCTGCTGCTGTTACTTGCTATTTACTAGACTAGTAGCTTATGTTAATAACTTACTGGGTGTTATACATAAAGCAGATCTGCTGTTTCTCAGCTAGACGATTAGCCTTACAGTGGTACCTCTGGTTACAAACTTAATTCGTTCCGGAGGTCCGTTCTTAACCTGAAACTGTTCTTAACCTGAGGTACCACTTTAGCTAATGGGGCCTCCCACTGCCACCGCACTGCCAGCATGCTATTTCTGTTCTCATCCTGAGGTAAAGTTCTTAACCCGAGGTACTACGTCTGGGTTAGCGGAGTTTGTAACCCAAGGTGTTTGTAACCCCAGGTACCACTGTACTACTAATTTACTAGCATACAGACTTACTGTGTCAAGAAGAGCTACCATTGCTACTGTGGATTTACTATTGGAGTTGCTAATAACTTACATATACCGCAGATTCCGGCGTATTAGGCGACTGGGCGTATTAGACGACCCCCCAAATTGGCAGCTGCAATTTGGGGATTTGTCTTATAAGCCCAGTCGCCTAATACGCTGGGCAGCTCCACGTCAGGAGAAAGCCGCCCAGTGCAGAGCTGAGCCCGCTGCCCGCTGCTGCTGCTTCGGAGTGTATAAGTGTGTAAGATGACCCCCAACTTTTAAACCTCTTTTCCGGGGTTAAAAAGTCGTCTTATACGCCGGAATCTACGGTAATGTCCAGTGAGTCTGTAAGCTAGTAAAGCAGACCTGCCATGGACCGCCCTAGAACAGCTCTTCTGAAAGTTAGGATTTTGTCGCTATGGCAGTACCACCCGTGTCCACTTCCGGGTGCTCTCAGTCCACATACATATTCACATAAATACAAAGACATTACCATGTCCTTGGGTAGTAGCTGATCAAGGCTGAAGATGGCAGGTGGTGTGAATTTCTGCAATTTTTTGCAAGGGAAGGGAAGGTAACTGTGCTGGTGCACACTTGAATATAGGAGAGAGGGATTGAGAAGAACTTAAGTACCTTTTCTTCTCATGAGCAAAAACTGCTTTTTCGAAGCTCACAATTGAGATGGGGTCATTGAGAAGGCTGATATGGAGATAGGTAGGCACAGTTGCCATTAAAACATTGCAATTTTCAGGGCAAGATTTGGGCGTCTGTCTTTTGCCCAGAGCAGAGAATGTTTCCGGGGCAATTTCTCATGGAGCCTTACATAGACCCACACACACCTGACTCCGGGGATTTAGAAAACAAAACCAAATGCTCATCCTTATAGAGAAGGGTCTGGGGAACACCTGAAGGGTCCCCTGGATGTTGGTGGGCTCTAGTGGGAAGGGTACGATAGGAGCTGGACTCCCGACACCATGTGAGGCACTGAATGTTCTCCAGCCCTCCTATAGAGTGCTAAACGCCCAGTATCAAAATAACCTGAGTGCTTTAGCATCCTAAAGCAGGGTGCTTCTGTGGGTGGGAGTCTTCTGTGGGTGGGAGTCTTCTTGGGGCAGCAAAGCTCTTGCTGAAAGGGGCGTGGCCTTTTACTTCAGTGGGCAGGGCTCCTGCTGGCTGCCACTTAAACCGCCTCTTTCCCCAGCCACTCAGAATAACCGGAGTGCTGTAAGACGGCTTCTGTTGGCAGGGTGCTTCTTTTGGGGCAGGGGGAAGAGCTCTTCCTGACTGGGGCGTGGCCTCTCGTGTCGTGGGCGGGGCTCCTGCGGGCTGCCACCCAAGCCTCTTTCCCTGTTGTCTTTGCAGGTACCTTCAGCCCAGTCACCCTCTCCCTGTTCTTCCTCCTCTATTTCCTCCTTTCCTGCTGGACTTACGGGATTTCTGTGCCCAGCGGCCTCTTTGTCCCATCGCTGCTTTGCGGGGCTGCCTTCGGACGCCTGGTGGCCAACCTCCTCAAAAGGTGCCTCCTCTGCTTTGCGCATGGCGCTACGGGGCACGACCCCCCTCCCTCTCTCCCCAGACCCTCCCTGCTTGTCTCCGCTGCATCCTGACACCCTCCCACTTGTCTTCTCTCCCCTAGTTACATCGGCCTGGACCACATCTACTCGGGGACCTTTGCCCTGATCGGGGCAGCTGCCTTCCTGGGAGGGGTGGTGCGCATGACAATCAGCCTCACCGTCATCCTGATCGAGTCCACGAACGAGATCACTTACGGGCTCCCCATCATGATCACGCTTATGGTGAGCCTATTAGCAGCGGCACCGAATCTTCCAACAGCTAGCGCAATTGCAAAGCTAAGCAGGGTTCGGTACAGTTTCAAATTGGATGGGGGACTGTGTGTTGGGATACCTGCATTGGAGGGGGTTGGATTTGATGACCCTTGGGATCCCTTCCAGTTCTATAATCCTCCACCACCACCCCGTGGAGCTACATCGGCAGTTGTGCCAAGCCCCTTTGTAGGTGCGGTTTGCATCAGACCACAAATTGACAAAATGAGGATTGCTGGACAGAAAGCCTCCGCAGCTACCCTGAGGACTTCGCAGTGCAGAACTCCCTAATTCAGAAATGAACTGGCAACCACTGTAGGTGCTTTAAAATGGCTTCTATGAGATCTAGAAGCGACGCGGGTAGCTCTGTGCTCTAAACCACTGAGCCTCTTGGGCTTGCTGATCAGAAGGTTGGCGGTTCGAATCCCTGCGACAGGGTGAGCTCCTGTTGCTCTGTCCCAGCTCCTGCCAACCTAGCAGTTCTGGCTTCCATCACAGTTTCCTGTTGTGCCAGAAGCGGTTTATTCCTGCTGGCCACGTGACCCGGAAAGCTGTCTGTGGACAAATGCTGGCTCCCTCGGCCTGAAAGCGAGATGAGTGCCGCAATCCCATAGTCACCTTTGACTGGACTTAACCGTCCAGGGGTCCTTTACCTTTACCTTATATGAGATCTAAAGGGAGCCCCAGCCAGCAGTCTGGCCATTGTGGACACCAATGGAGGTTTCCGAGTCGTTTCCAAGGTCTGCCCCATGTAGAAGAAGAAGAAGAAGAAGAAGAAGAAGAAGAAGAAGAAGAAGAAGAGGAGTTTGGATTTGATATCCCGCCTTTCACTCCCTTTAAGGAGTCTCAAAGCGGCTAACATTCTCCTTTTCCCTTCCTCCCCCACAACAAACACTCTGTGAGGTGAGTGGGGCTGAGAGACTTCAGAGAAGTGTGACTGGCCCAAGGTCACCCAGCAGCTGCATGTGGAGGAGTGGAGACGCGAACCCGGTTCCCCAGATTATGTGACTACCGCTCTTAACCACTACACCACACTGGCACGCATTGCAGTGATCTAATCTGGAGGTTTTTCTCCTGTGTGTAGGAGCTTGTCGTACCAGCTTCTCCTCATCCTCCTCTTTCCAGGTAGCCAAATGGACTGGAGACCTCTTCAACAAGGGTATCTATGACATCTACGTCAACTTGCGAGGGGTGCCGCTTCTCGAGTGGGAAACCAAGGCAGAAATGGACAAGTCAGTCCCCGATTTCAACAATCTTTATGTTGTCCTGTGTTAAAATTGCTTGCTCTCTGTGCGTGTGTGTGTGTGCGTGTGTGCGTGTGTGTGCGCAACTCTCAAGCCTGCTTCTTTTTGATGTTCCCCAGGCTGAGAGCCAGCGACATCATGGAGCCGAACCTGATGTACGTTTACCCGCACACCCGGATCCAGTCCCTCGTGAGCATCTTGCGCACGACGGTTCACCACGCCTTCCCAGTGGTGACCGAAAACCGGGCGTACGAGAGGGAGTTCATGAAGTGGGACCAGCTGATCAGCAACAACATCAAGTTCAAGGTGGGTTCCGGCGCAGAGTCCCTTGTGGGGAATAAATGGGAGTGCTTTCCTTGAGTATGGCAGCACCTAGATCTTTGGAACTCCCTGCCCATTGGTATGAGGCAGGTTGGACTAGATGCGTTCCCTTACAACTCTACAACTCGCATGATTCTATCTCGTGGTACAGTCATACCTCGGGTTGAATATGCTTCATGTTGAGCGCGTTTGAGTTGAGCTCTGCGGCAACCCGGAAGTAACGGAACACGTTACTTCCGGATTTCGCCACTCGCTCAAACGCTCAAAATGACATCACACGCATGCACAGAAGCGGCAAAAAGCGACACGTGTGTGCGCAGACGTGCCGTCGCTGGTTACGTTTGCTTCTGGACGCGAACGGGGCTCCGGAACGGATCCCGTTCGCATCCCTAGGTACCACTGTATTAATTCCTCGGCCACCCAGTGCCTGGGCGAAGAGGAATGTTTTTCAAATTCCTCTTGGGAATGTCAGTAACGATGGATCATGGATGATGGACGTGATGAAACAGTGGCGGTTTATTTTTGCCAGAAATCCAGCATCCTCACCCGGGCCGGCGAGCAGCGTAAACGCAGCCAGTCCATGAAGTCCTACCCATCCAGCGAGCTTCGCAACGTCTGTGACGACCACATCGCGACGGAGGAGCCTCCGGAGACAGAGGACATGTTGCAGCAGATGCTGGAGCGGAGGTGAGCAAACACAGAACGGGATGTGGGGGACATCTTTTTCAGGCTGAGTGCAACATTCCTTAAAAAAATTATTTGGTTTTTCAAATTAAAGTTTTGTGGTCAAGAGATATACAATATAAAAACCAGATTCCAAGGAATCTCCTGGACTTCCCTCCTCCCTTTTGTGGGTCCTGTTATTAATCATTTCCTCCTGGTGGTGCTGTGGGTTAAACCACAGAGCCCAGGACCTGCTGATCAGAAGGTCGGCGGTTCGAATCCCCGTGACGGGATGAGCTCCCATTGCTCTGTCCCTGCTCCTGCCAACCCAGCAGTTCAAAAGCGTGTCAAAGTGCAAGTAGATAAATAGGTACCGCTCCGGTGGGAAGGTAAACGGCGTTTCCGTGTACTGCTCTGGTTCGCCAGAAGCGGCTTAGTCATGCTGGCCACATGACCCGGAATAGTCTGTACGCTAGCTCCCTCGGCCAATAAAGCGAGATGAGCGCCGCAACCCCAGAGTCGGTCATGACTGGACCTGATGGTCAGGGGTCTACCTTTACCTTTTATCTGCATCTTTTATGACAATCCAAGTCTTTTATCTCTCCATTGTGTCCAAAATTCACGCTTAAACTACAGCTGATATTCCAATCCTACTAACGACTTTAACTGTTCACAATGGTTTTTAAGATAAGTTATAAATTCCCCCCATTCCTTATTAGAATTTTGGCCTTCCTGATTTCTGACTCTTCCGGTCATTTTAGCCATTTAGGCATAATCCATCCACTTGATCTGCCATTCTTCTCTGGTGGGGACTTTATCTTCTTTCCATCTCTGGGCCAATAACATCCACGCAGCCATGGTCACATACATAAATAGTCTTTACTGCTCCTTTGGGATTTCGGCACCTAGAATTCCTAAAAAGAAAGTATCATGGGAATTGGGGTTGCTTGTGTGTAACCTCCGCCTACCCCAAACTGCTGGATGCGGTTGCCTTTCCCCCCGGCTGAGCAGCCCCCCTTGGGCACGACTGCTTCAGTCGCTGACAGAATCCGTCAGTGGGCGTTTCCTAAACTTCCTCCAGCATAAAAATTCCTTGACGGACAGCCTTCTTCTAGCCTCTCTGCGCGGCAGCCTTCTGCGCAGAGTGGGCGTGCCTATCGGTGGTCCTCCACTCTCCTCACTGACTTCACTAGAAGAGTCTCGGAGCCTCCCCTCCGAAAGGCTCTCAATACCTTCTTTCTTCCTTGTGTCACCTTGCCTTTCTTCCCCAGCGGAAGTCCTCTCTACCCCTGTACTGGTTCCCTCTCCGGCATTATTGGGGAGCCTAGGCTCTCCACTCTGTTCCGATGTCAGTTTCCTGACAGAAAGCTTCAGATTTTTTAAAGAAAAAGTTATTTTAAACATTTTTTTCAACTCCTTATACAGCGGTACCTTGGGTTAAGAACTTAATTCGTTCTGGAGGTCTGTTCTTAACCTGAAACTGTTCTTAACCTGAAGCACCACTTTAGCTAATGGGGCCTCGTGCTGCCGCTGCGCCGCCAGAGCACAATTTCTGTTCTCATCCTGAAGCAAAGTTCTTAACCTGAAGCACTATTTCTGGGTTAGCAGAGTCTGTAACCTGAAGTGTATGTGACCTGAAGCATATGTAACCCGAGGTACCACTGTATAAATGTCTGGAACAGATTAATCCACTTTGCATTACTTTCTATGGGGAAGTGTGCCTTGGTTTTGGAATGCTTTGGTGTTAGAATGGACTTCCGGAACGGATTAAGTTTGAGAACCAAGGTACTACTGTAGTCTAAAGCATCTAGCAGGTGCTAGGCTAGTGAGTTTTTCATCTCAACGCCAGGCACTTAGGGAGCTAGTGAGAGCGTGCAAATTCTTCAGGGGCTGACTGGTTGGCTGGCCTGAGCCGGCCCCTTTTTCCTGCAGGCACCCCTGCAATCCATCTCCAGAATGGCTTGCTCAATAATTACCCGTATGTTACCTGATCAACTCCTCCCCCCCCCATCCCAGGTACACCCCATATCCTAACCTTTACCCGGACCAATCGCCCAGCGAAGAGTGGACCATGGAGGAGCGATTCCGGCCCCTGACCTTTCACGGCCTCATCCTGCGCTCGCAGCTGGTCACCTTGCTGGTGCGAGGAGTCTGTTACGCGGAGAATCAGTCGGTGAGTTGGTTCCGCTTATTGGATTACTTGGGCCTGCGAACGGCTTGGGGCAACGTTATCGTGTAGTGTGGAAGGGACCCTGCATTGACAGCGTCCCTGACAGAGGTGTTCCCTTTTCACCTACACCTGAAGGGAAAAGATCCCCATGTTCCTGCCCCCCCCTCCCCAGTGGATATTTGTCCTTTTTTTATTTAAGCGATAAACATTTTTTATTGAGTTTTCCCAAGAAAATTCCTCTTCTGTCCTGTCTTGATATGTTTGAAACATCCATAGAGGACAAACTGGAACCCAAATTTTATCTTAAAAGAGCTGTTTTTTCTTTCAGCTCATTGGGAGTAGCTCATGAATGACATGTGTGTCTTCACGGCATAATCTGATTTTAACTTTTTTATGTACAGTGGTACCTCTGGATGCAAACGGGATCTGTTCCGGAGCCCCGTTCGCATCATGAAGCGAACGCAACCCGCATCTGCGCGGGTCGCAATTTGCCGCTTCTGCGCATGCGCATGACATCATTTTGAGCATCTGCGCATGTGCTAGCGGCGAAACCCGGAAGTAATGCGCTCCGTTACTTCCAGGTCGCCACGGAGCGCAACCCAAAAATATTCATATTAAATATTCCTGGAAGCATATTTAACCCAAGGTATGACTGTCGTTTTATTGTACAGTGGTGCCTCGCAAGACGAAATTAATTCGTTCCGCAAGTTTTTTCTTCTTGCGAGTTTTTCGTCTTGCGAAGCACGGTCTCCCATAGGAATGCATTGAAAATCAATCAATGCATTCCTATGGAAACCGACTTCAGACCAGGTCCGGGGACTGTCCCCCGACCTCTTCTGAAGGCTGGGGGGGGGGGACAAGAGCTTTTCTTCCCACCCCCAGCATTTAAAAAAACCCCGGGACAGCGGAGACTTCTCCGCTGTCCCGGGGCGATCTTAAAATGCTGGCGGGCGGCAGCGAAGCCTTCACTGCCGCCCGCCAGCATTTTAAAATTGCCTCGGGACAGCGGAGGACTTCTCCGCTGTCCCGGGGCGATTTAAAAGCCCCTGGGAAGGCAGGCAGGGGGGAGCAAAGACTTTTGCCCCCTGCCGGCCTTCAGAAGAGGTCCTGGACCTCTTCTGAAGGCCGGCGGGGGGCGAAAGTCTTTGCTCCCCCCCGCCTGCCTTCAAAAGCTGTCCGGGATAGCGGAGAAACGAAGGCTGGCGGCGGGAGGAGGTCTCTCCGCCCCGCCGCCAGCCTTCGGAGGAGGTCCGAGGACAGTGGGGAAGACGCGCTGCGCTTCCCCGCTGTCCCGGAGATTTCCCTATGGGCTTTCGTCTTGCGAAGGAAGCCCATAGGGAAATTCGTTTTGCGAAGCGCCTCCAAAACGGAAAACCCTTTCATCTAGCGGGTTTTCCGTCTTGCGAGGCGTTCGTCTTGCGGGGCACCACTGTACTGTTATTGGTACACTGTTCTGATTTAGTTATTTATTTAATCAACAGCAGTACATACATATTTTTACAAATAAGTAGGGACAACTCTTCTCCTTCAAAGATCAGAAATTCCCTTCCAGGACCCTAGAGGACAGTGGTTCTTCCCCAGCTTCCCCCCAGCTTCTCTTGCAATAGAAATTCACAGTCCGGGATTTCCTGTTCTCCTCCACTTTTGATACGCCGTAGGATTTGATCTGTGTCCTTCTGACTTGAGATTTGCCTTCCAGAGCACCAGCCAGCCTCGCCTTTCGTACGGCGAGATGGCGGAAGATTACCCTCGCTATCCCGACATCCACGATCTGGACCTCACGCTTCTGAACCCCAGGATGATTGTGGTAAGGGATGGATGGCGGCCAACAGATTGAGGTTGAATCCTGACAAGACAGAAGTACTGTTTTTGGGGGACAGGAGGCGGGCAGGTGTGGAGGAGTCCCTGGTCCTGAATGGGGTAACTGTGCCCCTGAAGGACCAGGTGCGCAGCCTGGGAGTCATTCTGGACTCACAGCTGTCCATGGAGGCACAGGTCAGATCTGTGTCCAGGGCAGCTGTTTACCAGCTCCATCTGGTACGCAGGCTGAGACCCTACCTGCCTGCGGACTGCCTCGCCAGAGTGGTGCATGCTCTAGTTATCTCCCGCTTGGACTACTGCAATGCGCTTTTTGCAGGAGACCCAGAAAATGTAACTACTGTAATCCAGAATGCGGCAGCTAGACTGGTGACTGGGAGCAACCACCGAGACCATATAACGCTGGTCCTGAAAGACCTACATTGGCTCCCAGTACGTTTCCTAGCACAATTCAAAGTGTCGGTGCTGACCTTTAAAGCCCTAAACGGCCTTGGCCAAGAATACCTGAAGGAGCGTCTCCACCCCCATCATTCTGCCTGGACACTGAGGTCCAGCTCCAAGGGCCTTTTGGCGGTTCCCTCCCTGCGAGAAGTGAGGTTACAGGGAACCAGGCAGAGGGCCTTCTCGGTGGTGGCACCCGCCCTGTGATAAGCCCTCCCACCAGATGTCAAAGAGAACAACAACTACCATACTTTTAGAAGACATCTGAAGGCAGCCCTGTTTACGGAGGCTTTTAATGTTTGATGTATTACAGTGTTTTAATATTTTTTTGGAAGCTGCCCAGAGTGGCTGGGGAAGCCCAGCCAGATGGGCGGGGTATAAATAATAAATTATTATTTTTATTATTTATTATTATTATTATTATTAGAGGGTGTGCTTGCACAAATTTGTGGAGTGTCAGGCTGTCAATAGCTGTCAGCCACGATGGCTGTGCTCTTCCTCCACAGTCAAAGGCACCAGTGCATCTGAATACCTGCAGCTGGAAACCAGAGGAGCAGAGAGGGCTCTTGCTTGCAAGTTTCCCATTGGGCCACAGAATGCTGGACTAGATGGGCTATTGCGTTAGATGGTACCAAACACCCAGCAAATTGACAAAAATGTCTAAGTCTAAATCAAATAAATGTTCCCCTTTTTGTTTATCTCTTCGTGGAAGCGGCTTCCGCAAGCCGACTGGGAGATTCCAGCAGTGGAAGGAAATGGGGCAAAGAACTAGCTGGCTGGTAAACACATAAGAACATAACAGGAGCCCTGAAGGACCAGGCCAGTGGGCCATCTAGTCCATCATTCTGGGGGAGACTCGCAAGCAGGACTCGAACCCAAGAGCCCTCTCCCCCCCCCGAAAATGATATATCAATGGTACAGTGGTGCCTCGCAAGACGAAAAGAATCCGCTCCGCGATTCTTTTCGTCTAGCGGTTTTTTCGTCTTGCGAAGCAACCCCATTAGCGGCTAAGTGGATTAGCGCTATTAGCGGTTTAGCGGCTTAGCAGCTATTAAAGGATTAGCGGCTAAGCTGTTAAAAGGCTATTAGCGGCTTAGAAAAGGGGGGCGGAAGCGGGGAAAAAAATGGCAAGACTCGCAAGACATTTTCGTCTTGCGAAGCAAGCCCATAGGGAAATTCGTTTTGCGAAGCACCTCCAAAACGGAAAACCCTTTCGTCTAGCGGGTTTTCCGTCTTGCGAGGCATTTGTCTTGCGGGGCACCACTGTATCTAACACTGAGTAAACTGGCAAGAATGTAGAAATCTAAATCAAAGAAGTGTTAGAAATGTAAAGAGAACAAAGGTTCTTTTTATCATATGTGGTGGTCTTGTGGTAAGGTTAAAGCTTACTGGGAAATGATATGTAACGAAATGAAAAGGGTGTTTAAAATAACCTTTGTAAAAAACACACCCAGAAGCTTTTATTTTGGGAATTCTAGGGACAGAACTACCTAAAATGTATAGAAACTTATTCATGTATGCTACTACAGCGGGAAGAACGTTACTTGCCCCAAAGTGGAAAGAAGCAGAAGTCCTAGCAAAGGAAGAATGGATACAAAAACTTATGGAATATGCAGAAATGGCGAAACTTACTGGAAAAATAGGAAATCAAGATAACAGTTTTTTAAATAAAAGAATGGAAATAGTTTATTGAATAGTTGCAGATAAATTATAAACAGATAAGAACGTTGGCAGGATTATTGTAATAACCTGCAGTTTCATAAGAGTATATATTTAGAGAAGAAGAATAAATGAGCAAATTAAGTTAATTTGGATATGCAGAAGATATTAAAAACAAATTTAAGGAACCGCAGAAAGAGGGGGAAGGAAGTCAAGTTTTGAAATGTCAGAATGATTGTAAAATCAGTGAAATGTGTAAACTTGAAAAGTACAAAATTGAAAAAAAATACATAAACAGGCAAAAATAATAATAGATGGGCTATTGGTCTGATCCAGCCGGCTCTCCTTAGCTTCTTACACAAGTGCTTCTTGCTGCATTATTGCCGGGTTGCATTTGACGACCTTCCCCCATGTCTGCTTAACTCCTCTGGCAGGACATCACGCCTTACATGAATCCCTCCCCATTCACGGTTTCGCCGAATACTCACGTCTCGCAAGTCTTCAACCTCTTCCGGACGATGGGGCTCAGGCATTTGCCCGTGGTGAATGCCGTTGGGGAGGTGAGTTTAACCTGTACATACTGTCTTTGGGAAGAATTTTGCAACTGGGTCTGGGTGTAACTTTTCTCCCACCACTTCCTCTCCCACCTAGTTAGGTTTGTGCCAAGAGTTTAAAATCCAGAGGCCGCCTTGCTGGAGAATCCAGAGCAGGCACCCCCAAACTCAGCCCTCCAGCTGTTTTGGGACTACAACTCCCATCATCCCTAGCTAACAGGACCAGTGGTCAGGGATGATGGGAATTGTAGTCCCAAAGCAGCTGGAGGGCCAAGTTTGGGGATACCTGATCCAGAGCTTTAAGGCAAATGTGTCTGCCTAATAACCACCACTAGATGTTGCTGTGCTCCAGAACAAACAATCCCAACATACAGTGCAGAGCATAGGAGGGCCAGTTTGTAGTATGCCGGGCTATCAGTGTTTCCCAAACTTGGGTCTCCGGCAGCTTTTGCATTACACTTCCCATCATCCCTGACCCTTCGTCCTGACAGCTAGGGATGATGGGAGTTGTAGTCCAAGAACAGCTTGAGACCCAGAGTTTGCAAAACCCTGGGCTAGATGATCCTGGCATAAACTGCTAGCACATGTATGGAGGCAAAAGACTGGGGGGCGCTCCCAAGGAGTGGGTCCCCCACGTGGGCAGTACTGCCCCATGGGGGTTGGTGGGATTACCCAGGGGGTTGCTGGAGGTATAAGTGACTATCAGACTCTGAAAAGCTGGTACCTTTAGATCAAGCTTATCAATGTTGTTGAATAAATTAAACAAAAAATATTTTATTGGATTTTGAGTAAATGTGCAATTAACTGTTTTACTGTGTTGCTATCTTCCTTAGTAGGGACGCGGGTGGCGCTGTGGGTTAAACCACAGAGCCTCTTGGGCTTGCCGATCAGAAGGTCGGTGGTTCGAATCCCCGTGATGGGGTGAGCTCCCGCTGCTCGGTCCCTGCTCCTGCCAATCTAGCAGTTCGAAAGCACGTCAAAGTGCAAGTAGATAAATAGGTACCACTATGGCGGAAAGGTAAACTGCGTTTCCGTGCGCTGCTCTGGTTCGCCAGAAGCGGCTTAGTCATGCTGGCCACATGACCCGGAAGCTGTACGCTGGCTCCCTCGGCCAATAAAGCGAGATGAGCACCACAACCCCAGTCGGCCACGACTTGACTTAACGGTCAGGGGTCCCTTAACCTTTATCTTTATCTTACTTAGTGGGTCATGCAAACCACTATTCTGAATAACACTTTTTTATACCACAATACACTAGGTTATCCTGCAATGAGCTAGCAGGTGTTTGGAGGCATAAGTCTGCCTGTCTTCTGGGTCTTTTGGGCTGCAGTTCCTACCAGCCTCAGCCAACATACCGTATTTTATGCTCTATATGACTCACTTTTTCCCTCCTAAAAAGTAAGGGGAAATGTGTGTGCATCTTATGGAGTGAATGCAGGCTGGCAGCTATCCCAGAAGCCAGAACAGCGAGAGGGATCGCTGCTTTCGCTGAGCAGCGATCCCTCTTGCTGTTCTGGCTTCTGAGATTCAGAATATTTTTTTTCTTGTTTTCCTCCTCCAAAAACTAGGTGCGTCTTGTGGTCTGGTGCGTCTTATAGAGCAAAAAATACGGTAGTTCCGATTCATGGAGGGAGGGCCAGATGCATTTACAGTTGTACCTTGGAAGTCAAACAGCTTAGTTCCCGAACGATTTGGCTCTTGAATGTCGCGAACCCGGAAGTGACTGTTCCGGTTTGCGAACTGTTTTTGGAAGCTGAATGTCTGATGGGGCTTCCGATTGGCTGCAGGAGCTTCCTGCAGCCAATCAGAAGCTGTGCTTTGGTTTTTGAAAGTTTTGGAAGTTGAACGGACTACCGGAACAGATTCCGTTCGACTTCCAAGGTACGACTGTCTCTATTTTTCTAGGCAAAATGCTCTTGCACTGGCAAATTAGAACTTCTGTGTTCAGAACTTCCATGTCTGGAGAGTTCAGACCAGGCTTGAGGGCAGCTCTACAGAGAGCACATTGCAGTTTTCAGGTCATGGGCTGCTAGACTGTTTATTTAATAAAATATATGCATTGCTTGATTGTACAAAAAAATAAATAAAGAACGAAAACCTAAACCAGTTTACAAAGAGAATAAAACAAAGTTACCGGAAGGCTTGTCTAAACAAAAACGTTTTTAGCAAGGGCTGAAAAGAGCGAAGGCGCACACCTGTTATCAATAGGCAGGGAGTTCCATTGTGTAGATGCTGCCACACTAAAAGATGGACGAGAGGGGCCTTTGCTCTGATCCAGCCTCCTCCATAACACTGGTTTACCCTGTCCTCTTTTTCTCCCGCCGCCTCTTCACAGATCGTCGGCATCATCACGCGCCACAACCTGACCCACGAATTCCTGCAGGCCAGGCTACGACAGCACTACCGGACCATCTGACCCCTCCGCTCCCGCCTCCCAAGCCGCCGCTTTGGATCCCGCGTGGCCCCCGGGTCACCTTCGTGCACTTTAAAGGCAACAAAAGCGGACCGGCTTCTTTCTCACTGGGGGGAGGCCCCCCAGTGACCTCTTGGGGGGCCGGAAGACTCTGGGAGTTGTGGTCTGAACGCTCGCCGGCTAATCTTAGGGGCTCGCTCACCTGCTGCCCCGATTGGCTTCCGATCGGCATCGTCCCGACATTTCACCGCCCCGCCGGCACGATTCATATCTATGCCATATTCCAGATGGAAGGAACACCTGTCCTTTTCTCCTCTCCTTGCCTTATCCTAAAACCAGGTGTTCACCATCTCGAAAGACTCAGAAGACCAACGCAGCACTTAGCCGCTATATTTCAAGCTTGGGCCAGCAATTTCCTCCTATTTCGCATTCGTAGTTTCAGTAAGGCTAAGAAGAAGAGACACTTTTTCTCTCTTTTTTTTTACCGGAGACTCTGGAATTTCCTGCGTAGAATTTTCATTTTCATTCCGCTTAACTGCACTTTTGAGTTGTTGTTTTCTCGGCTAGAGGCTGGGACCCTTGATGTTTGGGGGTGGGCGAAAGTCTCCACTTGAGTGAATCAAACCCTTGATCCTTAATTATCTTTTTTTGGGGGGGGGAGGTTCTAGGTGCATATGGAAGGGAATGAACAATTGTGCCACTAAAAGTAAGTGCATGTTGGGGTGTGTTTGTGTGTGTTAGTGAAAGGCAGCGTTTGCCTCTGTGAGGAAAGCCACATGGGTCAGTTTTGCAAGGGTTTGGCAGCTGGAGTGCTGTGGGTTTGTTTGCACTTACAACCCTCCAGGCATTGCTGGACCACGACTCCCATCACCTCTGACCACTTGTAGTCCAGCCCCTGAAGGGAGTCACAGATTCACCAACCCTGCCTTGAAGACCCAAGATGGAACAGGTATGTGCATACAGAACAGATTCAGGTCTCCCAGCTCTCCAAAAGCTTAATTTTTTTAAAGAATAAGTCAGCACCCTGAATTGGAAATTGGGACCTCACATTATCTCTTCCCGGGCCATCTTAGCTTGGCATTGTAGTATGGAAGCTTTAGAGCAGAGGGTTGGAACCAGTGGCCTTCCAGATGTTGGGACTACAACTCCCATCATCTCTGGCCCCAGGGCTGATGGGAGTTGGGAGTCTAGTGGCCTCTGGAGGGCAAAACCCCGCTCGCGAGGGAGAGAGACATTGGGAGTAGAGCTGAACCAGTTTGTCTGAAGGGTTTCCAGTACACAGTAGGCTTGATGGCTGGTGGCGGTTCAGCATCACTGAGAAGAATCTCGCTTGCCTTGCGGGTGGCTGGCTGGGCATCCTGCCGCAGATGGGAAAATCAAGCTCATTGGTGAAAGTTTCCCCTAATCAAACCCACCGGTGATGGGCGCCTGTAATTCCTACCTGTCTCAGCCCCTTAAACTGCCACCATCTGGTTGCTCCATACCAGGCTGCTGCCACTGTAGAGAAAACCAAACTTAAATATATTTCTGGAGTGTTTAAAGGTTTTCTCCTGCATGCGCTAGGCATTTAGCAGCAGTTCCCTAAGCAAACCTGAGAGGGTCATGTGCATTGGGACAACAGCTCTGTCTCTACAGAGGCGCCAATTTGCAGTGTGGCCCTGCCATGTCCCCTCAAATCTACCCGTGACACATCTGGTTGGGTTTTTTGACACCCCCACACCCCACGGCAGATCTCCAATCTTTCCCTTCCTCCTGCAAGTGATTGTAACGACTGCTGGGGAATTCAGTCCTCCGAACAGTAGATCTCCAGGGGGTGTCTCTGAGAATCCAGTTTTCATAGAAAGACTTCCCTTTAACTAGCAAGTCTTGAAAAGCTGCAATTGTGACACCCAGTCCAGGACCGAAATAGGATTTTTTTTTTTTGCAAAGGGGGGGTGGGGGTGGGGGCTGTCTGCAGCAGTTCCAGGAGCACTTGAGAGAGTTCATGTAATTGCAGAGTCACCTCAAGCCAGCCCAGGCCAGTCTGGGGCTTCTCGCAAGCCCCATCTCGGCTTCCCCCTTTGCAGTTATTCCAGCGGACTCCTGCCTCCGTAGGTTTCCCCCCCCTGTTCTTGCTTCTGCTAAATCTCTCCGGTTTGGAAAGGTGACAGCCCTGATGCTGATGGTCTTGATAAAGCACAGTTGTGGAGTGTGGATTTTGCAGGTTTTTTCTTCCCAGGCCGAAGAGCCGGAGAGAAAATGCATTCCAAGAAAAGGACCCCTACAGCTCTGCCTGCACACAAAAATAAAATAAAATCCTCCTTCCATGTCGCCCCACCTGTTAAAACCTGTTCTGTGCCACAAGGCAGGCAGGCAGGGAAGGAATCGCCTCGAGCGTCTCACCCCATCACAACCTTGTCGGTGTCTTTAAAACCAAAATGTGGGCTGTCTCCAATGTTAGTTTTACTTAAAATAGTCCTGCTGAAATTAATAGGTTTGGGCCTGTGAATTTCAGTGGGTCTACTCTCAGCTGGATGCAACCCCTGTGTTTGTGGACCCCTCCCTCTTTTAAACCATTCTGTGCCGCCAGTGACGCTAATTCAGGCATCTCAGTTTCCTGTCTTCCGAAATTATATGTTTGGGCTCCCGGGGTATAGCTGGGGGGTGGGACACAAAAATTGCCTGGTTTCGAGTTCTGATTTCATCTCCTTGAACCAGGAATTAAGGGTGTGTGTGTGTGTGTGTGTGTGTGTGTGTGTATGTAAATGTGCAATGTGTGTTTACAATGTGTAAAGTCTGTCTCTTCATAGCTCTTTGTGATTGTGTGGGTGGTGCGTGTTGTTGTTTTTTTGTTTTTTTAAGGGGCAGAAGAATCAGAACCAGGTCCTCCTCTCTGTCCCTCTAAATCCATTGAAAGACTTCAGCTGTTTTCTGCTTCTCAGACCCACTGCTTTATTCTTTTGACCCCTTGAGGAAGAAGGAAGGAGGGCAGTCCACATCTTTAAACTTTAATTTGGCCCTGGCATTTTCTGGTTGCAGCAGGTATCAGCTCAGCTCTGCAAACCACTTTTTAAAATTATTATCTCTCTCTCTCTCTTAGCTGGGGCATAATCAACTTTCTTCCTAAGCCTTTGTCCTTGACGGCAACTACTACTCTTAAATTGCTAAGCTCTTACAAAAAAAAAAAAAGTTGCCACAAGTTTGAACCCCTCTGATACTTATTGATCTGCAAGCCGTGTTAAAAAGTGGGAGAGTTGAAGATTTCATTGCCACCAAATGACAAGTCTGGGTTGTGGGGCATGTGTGATTTTTTGTGCTGCCCCCTTGTGAAAGGGGAGGGGCAGCCTCCTCTCCCCCCCCCCCGAAGTCCAGCAGCCTGGCACCTAACAGCCGCGGCATCGTTGACATCTTGACTTAACAGCCAGTTAAGTGAGCTGCTTTGCCACTTCTCTGCAAAGCTTGCCCAGAACGTGTCGGGTTTTTTCCTTCACTGCGATCTCGTAAGATGTCGAACCAATTAAGGACTGTCTTCCCCAACTCCCCAGAGCTGTTGGCTCGAAGGAGCTTGACAATACATTTCTGTGTTTTGAGCCGATTTATTTGTTTTTGGCATCCTGGCGATGCCCAGATCAAGTGCTGCTTCATTTCGAAACCTAAAATTGCCCCAGTGGCTTTAGGACTCCTATCCTGAGGAGTGTCAGCTATCCTGACAGGGCAGCTGTGCTCTCTCTGTCTCTCTCTCTCTAAGGGATCTTTCCTCTTCTCTATCATGATGAAAAGTTCCACTGTTCCCGCACATGCCGACAAGGGGCTTGTTAGCGGAGCTAGGATACAGAGCTTCAGCGCGTCTCGGTTTCTTGCTAGGTGATGCCCTTGTTCTCATTGCTGGGCTTCTCGTGGGCTTGAGATTGCTGAGATTTTTGTGCAGGGGGAATTTTGTGGGTGGGGGGTTGTAGGGTGTGTGTGTGTTTGGGTCTGGGGGGAAAGGGGTATATCATGATGGTGTGCATTTGTTGGCGTGCGTGGTAGGGGAGGGGCATGTGAGTTTTTGCTCCCACGCTGTTGTCCAAAGAACCATAGCTTATGTTCCAAAGCTGGGCTTGCTTCCAGCCTATTCACTTCCCTCCGATAGACGCCCTTTCCTTGTCTCTTTACTTTCAGGTTGTGCCTTCTGAGTCTATTCAACCATGCTTTTAAAAAGGGTGTGTGTGTGTGTGTGTGTGTGTGTGTGTGTGTAACCCATGCAGCAATGGCTTTGTGTTCCTATCTTACCAAGGGGAGTCTTGAACGGATGGAATCTATGCCGATTAATGCCTGCCACCGCCAAACCCTGTGGCCTCTACAGTTCACTGAGGTGTGGGCACGTCTTGCTTTTAGTTAGATGCACATTTTAAAAATGCCTGCAGCCCAACATCCACACACATTTGGCGCTGACCACTTCCCACCACCGCCAAATGCCTCTTATCCAGGACAAAGAAACAGGAAAGGTTTTGCTTTTCTGGGTCCCTCCCGAATAATTCTGGGAGCATCTCATCCCCTTCAACTCTTTCGTTTCTAAAGGAGGAGGAGGAAGCAGGCAGAATCTTTACTCGGTGCTTTTCATTTTGCGAAGTTAAACTACAGGGGAGAAAAGGGTTTATCACAGATGTGGGGAAGCTTCCCCCCCCCCCGATGTTGACAAACTATAAGTCCAAGCAAATGGCCAGGGGTGATGGGGAGTTGCAGTTCAGCAACCGCCTGGAAGGCCAGAGGTTCTTCACACCTGGTTTGCCCAGAAAGCAACACTTTTGTCCCATGTTGCAAGAGAATTGTTTCCAACTGGCTGGTTGAAAGTCAGTGATGCAGACTTGCTAACCTCCCTGTCTCAGATGTGCCACTCAAACCCTCATTTCCGAAATGGCCGCCCCAGACTGCTTGAGGTCTGCTGATGACTTGGCCAAAACTTGGCCAAAACCCCTTCTCTCTCCACCCCCCCCCGGTCAAGCCTAGACTCCCAAACAGACAGAAGGCCCTTAAGTGTTAAGTTTGAGCCCAGGGCAGGGAAATCTGGGGCAAATATTCATGCGTTCTCCGTTTCACTGCCCGCTCTGACCTCTTAAACAGTGTTAAATTGCCATATCCCTCCACGTCGCAGTGCATTCCCCTGGTAAACCCTCTCAATGTTTTCTTCCTCCGATCTAATTTGTCTTTATTTTTTTCCCTGAGGGGAGTGTTTGTGACCAAATGATGGGAATTAATTCTGTTGTGTATATAATTATTATTTTTTATTTTTTAAAAAATGAGTGAGATAATAATAATAATTATTATTATTATTATTTGTGTTTGACCACCTGTAGTGTTTAACCATGGCCATCCTCTTTGGGGGGGGGGGAGAAAGAAAATAAATTCCTCCCGTGCATCTGTCTTCAAGGATCTTTTGTGATGACTATTTCCTTCTGTTGTGCATCACCTTTCTAGTTGCTTGGCTTCCTTCGGCCACCTGGACATAGAAGAGAGCAGTAGCTCAGTTGCTTAGAGCACCTGCTTTGCATGCAGAAGGTCCTGGGTTTGATCCCTGGCAGATGGAAAACCTTGAGAGCCTCTGCCAGTCAGCGTAGAGAATATTGAGCCAGATTGACTCATGGTATGACACAACTTCCCATGGTTCTGTTTAAATCAGCCTGTTGCCTGGAGCCATGAGGACTAGAATCTTGTGTTACGTGTTAGCAGAAGGACCATAGCTCAGTTGTAGCGCACCTGCTTTGCACATAATGGTGCATGCTCTAGTTATCTCCTGCTTGGACTACTGCAATGTGCTCTACGTGGGGCTACCTTTGAAGGTGACCCAGAAACTACAACGAATCCAGAATGCAGCTGCTAGACTGGTGACTGGGAGTGGCTGCTGAGACCATATAACACCGGTCCTGAAAGACCTACATTGGCTCCCAGTACGTTTCCGGGCACAATTCAAAGTGTTGGTGCTGACCTTTAAAGCCCTAATCGACCTTGGCCCAGTATACCTGAAGGAGCGTCTCCACCCCCATCGCTCAGCCCGGACACCGAAGTCCAGCTCCAAGGGCCTTCTGGTGGTTCCCTCCCTGCGAGATGTAAGGTTACAGGGAACCAGGCAGAGGGCCTTCTCAGTAGTGGCGCCCACCCTGTGGAACGCCCTCCCCACCAGATGTCAAGGAAATAAACAACTATCTGACTTTTAGAAGACATCTAAAGGCACCCCGGGACGCGGGTGGCGCTGTGGGTAAAAGCCTCAGCGCTTAGGGCTTGCTGATTGAAAGGTCGGCGGTTTGAATCCTCGCGGCGGGGTGCGCTCCCGTTGCTCGGTCCCAGCGCCTGCCAACCTAGCAGTTCGAAAGCACTCACGGGAGCAAGTAGATAAATAGGGACCGCTTACTGGTGGGAAGGTAAACGGCGTTTCCGTGTGCGGCTCTGGCTCGCCAGAGCAGCGATGTCACGCTGGCCACGTGACCCGGAAGTGTCTCCGGACAGCACTGGCCCCTGGCCTCTTAAGTGAGATGGGCGCACAACCCTAGAGTCTGTCAAGACTGGCCCGTACGGGCAGGGGTACCTTTACCTTTACCTTTAAAGGCAGCCCAGTTTAGGGATGCTTTTTAATGTTTAATGTTTTATTGTGTTTTTAATGTTCTGTTGGGAGCCGCCCAGAGTGGCTGGGGAAACCCAGCCAGATGGGTGGGGTATAAATGATAAACTATTATTAAGTTATTATTATTGTTTTATTATAGAAGGTCCCAGCTATAATCCCAGGCATCTTCAGGCAGGTCTGGGAAAGGTTTTCTGAACTGGATAGACCAATTATCTGACTTCCAGTGTACCTAATGTGTTGATCTCCCATAGCATCCCTCTCTTTGCCCTCAAAGGAGTCAGTGGGCAGCCAGCTGCCTCTGGGAAGTTTGCAGGCCAAGAACAAAGGCAACTCTTTCTCAAGCCATTGGTCCCCAGCACTTGATATTCAGTGGTACATTGCCTCTAATATTGGGTCTCTAATTATAAAACAGGGCTGAGGTCCCCTTTTCAAGTTGAGGGCCAGATTTCTTTCTTGGCAGCCTGCTGAGGGCCACATGCCAGGGACAGGTGGGCTTGGGGTGAAAGTAGACGGAGCAACAAATGTAAATTTTACCATGTGTACAGTAGGCTGCTTTCTACACTCTTCATCCTCCATTCAGGCAAGCAAGAGGCATGATCACCATTTAAGGACACATTGCAGCCCAGCAGAAACACAGAGCAGGGTCTGTAAGGGGCGTGGCCTGAGTAGAATGGGGTGTGGCCTATTTGGAGAGGGGGTGTGGCTTGGGGAGGAGCATTCCAAGGACCAGGTGAAATCTCAGGAAGAGGAGTCTCATATCACTCCCAGCCTTGAGGTCTTTTTACCTGCAGTCGCCAGAGAACACAAGTATACACAGGCAAGTCATAATACAAGAGTTGCGCAGATTTTGTCACTGCAAATGCACCATTTAATGCAGCGGTTAAAACAGCAAACAGCAGGAAATGTGCCTGGAATATTGGGCAGGGGGTGTCCTTTATGAAAAATCAGCCATGGCAGCTGTTGCAAGAGGCTCTTGAGAAAATAATGGGCATAGTCTCCCTGCCTGAAACCCTAGAGAGCTGCTGCAAGTCCGTGCAGGCAATACTGAGCAAAATGGACCATTGGCACAGCTCCTATATTCTGTGCTGGGGGGAAGCAGTTTGGCATGTGACACAAGGAGAAGGAAGGCTCAGATGTTTCCACACCTACAAGCTTTTCTCAACCTTAGGATCTCAGATGTTGTTGGGCCACAGTGTCCATTAGCCCTGACCATTAACCATGCTGGCTAGTGGGAATTGGCATCCCAACATCTTCCGGCGAGCCACTGCCAAGTTGTGGGGAATCCTCTGTGGGAACAAGGCAGTTCCCGGGCTTGAGAGACCAGGCAAAAAGTGTGGTCTCTTTCCATGGTGCTGAATCCATTTTACATCCCTGGACAGAGCAAGGGCGTCCAAGTTGCCGCTTTTGATCGCATGCGTTTGAGGAAATGAAGCCAATTCGTGTTACAAAGCAGGGGGAACGTCCAATTTCCCTCCCTCCCAGTCCTGAGAGCTTGCAGTGGGCTTACAAGTAGAACCTCATCTCCTTCCATCCTCATGATGATCTCTGGGAACTAAGTCATGGTGAAAGTGAGAAAATGCCGGTGAATTGTCCGCATGCCAAGGAAGTTGTGCATTCTTTGATAGGAGTAGTCGGGAGCGCCTTAATCAGGTGCCATGGGAGCAGGGGAAGGCTGGGGAGTTGGTTGTCGTCGGAGACGGAAGATGGAGACGGTGGTTTGCATCAGCTTCAGTTCTGCGAGAAGGGAGAGAGAATAAAAGAGCAACATTCATTACAAAGCCAACTAGGAGCGACAGCACCGTGTTGAAGCAGAGTTGTCTGTTACCATGGGGTGTGGCAGGGGTGGGGATAAGCCCTGGAGTTGGGAGAGTTAAGACAGGAAAAGTAATAAATTGGTGGGCAGGAAAGCATCATGAAATGATAGACTGGGAAAATCTTTTCTACCCTCCCTCAAAACTGCCTTTTGACAGTTATCTTGCAAAGCACTCCAGGATCCGACTCCTTTTTGCTATTTTAAAGCTATCTGGCTTTTCCCCATTATTGTCTATACTATTATTGACTCTACTACTTATTATTATTATTATTATTATTATTATTATTATTATTATTATTATTATTATTATTTATTATTACTATTACTACTACTACAGTGGTACCTCGGGTTACATACGCTTCAGGTTACAGACGCTTCAGGTTACAGACTCCGCTAACCCAGAAATATTACCGTACCTCAGGTTAAGAACTTTGCTTCAGGATGAAAACAGAAATCGTGCAGGAGGCCCCATTAGCTAAAGTGGTGCTTCAGGTTAAGAACAGTTTCAGGTTAAGTACTGACCCCCGGAACGAATTAAGTACTTAACCTGAGGTACCACAGTATTATTATTATTATTATTATTATTATTATTATTATTATTATTATTATTATTACCCAGCCACTCTGGGCAGCTTCCAGCAAAATATTAAAATACAATATCTGTATTTTACAAATATGACCCCACCAATACCCTCCATATCCAAAGGGACCTGGACACAGAGGCTGTAGGGGCACCAGAGGGGGAGCTGGCTGCCACCTAACACCCATTCCGCATTTATAAGAAATCAGTCTTCTAGGACGGCAGCACTTAAAAGCTTTGGAACTCCCTGCCACTTGGCATCACTGTCCCCTTTCCTCTGCCATGTTTCTTTAGACAAGCCTATCCAGACACATGGAACACTCATGTGTATTTTATACCTTTTCAGCTGCAGTTAATTTTAATTTTGTCAATGCTTTAGAAACCTGAGATCTTATCAAGGATTTTGAAGTTTTGTTTTTAGCTCTGCTAACTGCCTAGAGGGTGTGTATGTAAATCTTGTTGGATGACTAATAAATAAGTGAATAGCTATTGCAAAGTGCCCCCCAACACACAACGGGCTTTAGCTCAGCACTAGAGCACTTGCCATGCATGCAGAATGTCACAGGTTCAGTCCCCAATGGCGTCTCCAGCCAGAAAGACACTCTGACTGAAATCTCAGAATGCTGCTGCCAGCCTGTGTAGGCAACATTGCGCTAGATCGACCAATGGGCCAACTCGATGTCAGGCACCTTCCTGTGTTCCTAATCCTTTACCTGTTACAACCAAGTCCGGTCGAGGTCCCTGTCCTGTCCAGCCTCTGGCCGAAGCAGTTTTTTTTAAAAAATTGCTTTTTATTAAATTTTTCACAAACAAAAATAAAACAAAATAAAACAATCTTTTACAGTCATCATTTTATGTCATCTTATTTACACTGCGTATATTCACACCCAGACTTCCTTCCTTCCCACTTCGGTTTTCTTAAAATATGTCTTCTCTTGTAGATTCTTATTCACCTTCCATACACATCACAGGATTTATATCAACCCTGCTGTGGTCTTTAAACTTCTACAGTTAGATCTTATATATGCCACAAATTTACCCCACTCTTCTTCAAACTTTGTCCCTTTTTGGTCTCGAATTCTGTAGGTCATTTTAGCTAATTCTGTATACTCAAAAAATTTAGCCTGCCATTCCATTATTGTTGGGGGTCTCCTGTAATTTCCATTTTTGTGCTACCAGTATTCTAGCTGCTGCATTAGCATATTGGAATAATTTATGGTCCTCCTCCTTAATTTCCTCCCCTATGATCCCTAATAGAAAAGCTTCCGGTTTTGGGGGGAATGTGTACTTAAGAAGTTTTTGCAGTTCATTGTATATTAAATCCCAATTTTTTCCCCATCTTTTCACACTCCCACCACATGTGGTAGAGATCCCCATCTTTTACTTTACATTTCCAACAGGCTTTATTGCTCAATTTATACATTTTGGCCAATTTAACCAGGGTGATATATCACCGGTACATCATTTTTCCTAAATTTTCTCTTAAGGTGGAGCATGCTGTAAATTTCATACCTATGTTCCATAATTTAACCCATTAAAGGTAAAGGTACCCCTGCCCATATGGGCCAGTCTTGACAGACTCTAGGGTTGTGCGCCCATCTCACTCTATAGGCCGGGAGCCAGCGCTGTCCGCAGACACTTCCGGGTCACGTGGCCAGCGTGACAAGCTGCATCTGGCGAGCCAGCGCAGCACACGGAACGCCGTTTACCTTCCCGCTAGTAAGCGGTCCCTATTTATCTACTTGCACCCGGGGGTGCTTTCGAACTGCTAGGTTGGCAGGCGCTGGGACCGAGCAACGGGAGCGCACCCCACCGCGGGGATTCGAACTGCCGACCTTTCGATCGGCAAGTCCTAGGCACTGAGGCTTTAACCCACAGCGCCACCCGCGTCCAATTTAACCCATTAGCCGTATTCAATATTATGGGCTGACTCGATGTCAGGCACCTTTCTGTGTTCCTAATCCCTTACCCGGTTCCTGTTACAGCCAAGTCCAGTTGAGGTCCCTATCCTGTCCAGCCTCTGGCCGAAGCAGTTTGAGGACCTTTGCAAGCTACGGGGAGAGTTAAAAAGGGCTCTCAGTTTGTTCCTTGCAGCCGCCGGCTCTCTTGCCACTGCATGCTCCCAGCTGCTGGGACCAAAGGCGCCTTCGCCCTGAGGCCTTGCGTATTCGTTGTCCCAGGAGGCAGAAGCCTGGGAAACATCTCTGGCTGTTTCCTCGTTCGGTTCGTTCAATCCTTGACCGAGCTCCAACTCCTTTCCTCCAGATTCAAGTCTGTCTTCCAGGAGCTCCAGAAGGGCCTGGGAAACAGGAGTGGGGAGGGGAAGAGAACAAGAACCATAGAATTGGAAGGGATCAGGAGGGTCATCTGTGGGACGCGGGTGGTGCTGTGGGTTAAACCACAGAGCCTAGGGCTGACCGATCAGAAGGTTGGCGGTTTGAATCCCCGCGACGGGGTGAGCTCCCATTGCTCGGTCGCTGCTTCTGCCAACCTAGCAGTTCGAAAGCACGTCCAAGTGCAAGTAGATAAATAGGTACCACTCCGGCGGGAAGGTAAACGGCGTTTCCGTGCACTGCTCTGGTTCGCCAGAAGCGGCTTGGTCATGCTGGTCACATGACCCGGAAGCTGTACGCCGGCTCCCTCGGCCAATAAAGCGAGATGAGCGCCGCAACCCCAGAGTCGGCCACGACTGGACCTAATGGTCAGGGGTCCCTTTACCTTTACTATGAGGGTCTTCTAGCTCAGCCCCACTTCAATGCCGGAATTTTTTGCCCGATGTAGGACTCGAACCCACAACCCTAAGATGAAGTGTCTCACACTCTACCGACTGAACGATTGCAAAAACAAACAAGCAGAAGTTAGACTCCTGTGCAGGAGGGACTCTGTAGAGCAGACACAGAGTACCTGCTTTGCATGCAGAAGGTCCCAGGCTCAACTCCCCGATGGCATCTTCCGGTAGGGAAAGATTTTCTGCCTGAATCCCTGGAGAGCCGCTGCCAGCCAGGGCAGACAATACTGAGAGGGTGAACCCAAGGGTCTGACTCCACTTTAGGCAATTTAAAAATCTTTCCTATGTTCTTGTGTTAGATCTGTCTTAATTTGCGGCTGATCTGGTAAAATTTGAAAAAACCAATAAAAACGATTTGGCCCACAAAACGGAAAGAAATACATTATTATTTACTTTACAGTAATTGAATAATTGAACTTTGCTTTTTAATAATTTTTATTAAATTTTCTGTTTTGCAATTTAAGATACTCGTTTTACATCCTTAAGAGATCAATGATTTCCCTTCTTCTCTTTCCATGGTTCATTTTACATATCACAAATCCCTGCATATTTGACAAAAATCTATACCATTCAGTATTTCCCATATTGCATCCATCAAAACTTAATTACACTGTTGAATTCTTATTTATTTATTTATTTACCGCCCTATACCTGGGGGTCTCAGGGTGGTTCACAAAATAATGCTTAATGCTGCCAGCATTTTCAGCTGTACACAATTATTTCCCATATATTCAATAAACGATTTCTTTAAACATATGTTCTTCTTGTCCTGTTATTCGACATGTAAAATCTGCAAGCTGCGCATATCAGTTTACGGTAAGTTGCCATTCTTCTTTGGTTGGGACCTTGCTCGTTTTCCTTTTTGGGGCTCACAGAACACGAGCCGCAGTAGTAGCCTACATAAATAAGCTTTTTTGACACCTGGGAATTTCAGTCCGAATTTATTAAGTCCAATGCACTAAATAATTGAACTTTTCAGTACATTGGACTTAATAAATTATTTTCTGTGCTCTTTGAAGTTAAAGCATCCCCTTGATAATTTCTAACTGGTGGGGAATCGAACCTGGAGCCTTCCACACACAAAGCAGGTATGGCTCTTACCTTAACACACAGGAACCTAGGAAGCTAAAAAAGGTAAAGGGACCCCTGACCATTAGGTCCAGTCATGACCAACTCTGGGCTTGCGGCGCTCATCTTGCTTTATTGGCCAAGGGAGCCGGCGTACAGCTTCCGGGTCATGTGGCCAGCATGACTAAGCTGCTTCTGGCGAACCAGAGCAGCACACGGAAACGCCGTTTACCTTCCCGCCGGAGCGGTACCTATTTATCTACTTGCACTTAGACGTGCTTTTGAACTGCTAGGTTGGCAGGAGCAGAGACCGAGCAATGGGAGCTCACCCCGTTGTGGGGATTTGAACCGCTAACCTTCTGATCGGCAAGCCCAAGAGGCTCTGTGGTTTAACCCACAGCGCCACCCGCGTCCCTGCAACCTAAGAAGCTACCTTGTACCAAATCAGACCCTTGGTTCATCTAGCTCAATACTGTCTACACTGACTGGCAGTAGCTCTCCATTGCTTCAGAGGGGTGACATTCCCATTCTTACCTGGAGATGCCAGAGAATGAATCATTCTGCAATGATTCAAGGGTAGAATAATCTAGTTCATTGAGGTATTGGCTGCTTTATATCCCATCTGTCCTCCAAAGAGCTCAAGGAGGCACGCACGGTTTTCCTGCTCCCTGTATTGTCCTCACAACAGCCCTGCATAGTAGGCCGGGCTGAGAGCTGGTGATGTGGTCCAAGGTCGCCCAGTGAACTTCATGTGGCTGAGTGAGGATCTGAACTCCCAAGTCTCCCAAGTCCTAGCTTGGCACTCTGAACTGCTGGACTGCGCCGGGTTGCAGCCAGCGAAGTTTTACCGTGAATAGACCCTCTGAAATTAATGGTCTTAAGACGTTGGACTGGTTATGTTGTGCGGATGCCTGATTGTCGTCTTCCAAAGCAACTGCTCTATTCCGAACTTAAAAATGGAAAGCGTAATGCTGGTGGTCAACAAAAGAGGTTTAAAGACCCTCTCAAGGCAAATCTAAAATAATGTAGGATAAACACTGACAATTGGAGAACACTGGCCTGCAAGTGCGCCAATGGGAGAAGAGCCTTGACCAAAGATGTCATGGGCTTTGAAGACACTCGAACTCAGGACACAAGGGAGAAATGTGCTAAGAGGAAGGCACGCTTGGCGAACCCTCACCGTGATCAACTCCCGCCCAGAAACCTATGTCCTCACTGTGGAAGGACGTGTGGATCCAGAATTGGCCTCCACAGTCACTTACGGACTCATTGTTAAAACCGTGTTTATGGAAGACAATCTTACTCGGCTACGAGGGATCGCCAAAGAAGAAGTAGCTGTTATTAAGATTCAAAATAATTATAATTATATTCCACACACACAGGTCTCAAGGTGATGTTCCGAATGCAATAAAAGCAGTTTAGAAACAGCACGGAAAGTAAGGGCAGATAAATTTAAAAACAACACTAAAAGGATACCAAATCATTCAGCTGTGGAAGCCCACAGGAACAAAGATGGCTTCAGCTGTTTCTGGGAAGTGCAGAAAATTGTGAGTGCCTGTTGTATACTGAACGGGATGCTATTCCATAGAACAGGGGCAGCTACACCAAAAGCCCTGCTCTCAGTTACTGCGGAGCAGGCTGCTGAAATCCATGGAGTGTGCAGGAGAAGTCAGCCCTGCCCATTAACTTCGAGGGGGTCTACTCTGAGTAGGACTAGCATAGGACGCAATCCTTCAGCTCTGTTGTCCGAACCCACCCGAAATTAGAGCCCTGCTAGTCTTCTTCAAACCTCTCCATTCTGAAGGAAATCAGCCCTGAGTGCTCACTGGAAGGACAGATCCTGAAGCTGAGGCTCCAATACTTTGGCCACCTCATGAGAAGAGAAGACTCCCTGGAAAAGACCCTGATGTTGGGAAAGATGGAGGGCACAAGGAGAAGGGGACGACAGAGGACGAGATGGTTGGACAGTGTTCTCGAAGCTACCAGCATGAGTTTGACCAAACTGCGGGAGGCAGTGGAAGACAGGAGTGCCTGGCGTGCTCTGGTCCAGGGGGTCACGAAGAGTCAGACACGACTAAATGACTCAGCAACAACAGTCTTCTTCCTCTTACCTTGAGGTCCGCTAGCTCTGAACCGTGGGCAGCTGTGCCTTCGAGTTGACCGCCAATGAAGAACAAGACAAGGAGGAAAGGAATTGCTAATCCCATGGTGTTGGGGTTGGACTAGATGACTCTTGAGGCCCCTTCGAACTCTACGATGGCCACCGATCTCCCTCTCTTCTTCCTTTCTCAGTGCAAACCCTATGCTCTCCCCATCTTTATAGCCCCACAGGACCAGGAAATGTTAATGGCCAAAGAATGAACCCCACCACATTCCGTCACCCGCACTTGATAAGGGATCTGAGATACGTGGAGGCAGGAGAAGATTCCCTTTTAAAGTGATCTGTGTTGGCCTGACGGGAAGAACTTCTCAGCTCTCATGAAGAGCAACTGGCCAGTTCTCCCTTGTGACACCACATTCCTGTTGACTCAACTGGAGAGGCTTCACACTTCCGAGGTGTGAAAGAAGCTCCAAAGCTTCCTCTCTTAGTTTATCTCTCCCAGGGAAGTGGCTTCCGCAAGCCGACTGGGAGATTCCAGCAGTGGAAGGAAATGGGACAAAGAACTAGCTGGCTGGTAAACACATAAGAACATAACAGGAGCCCTGAAGGACCAGGCTAGTGGACCATCTAATCCAGGGGTCAGCAAACTTTTTCAGCAGGGGTTTGTCCACTGTCCCTCAGACCTTGTGGGGGCCCGGACTATATATTTTTTTAAAAAAATAATAAACAAATTCCTATGCCCCACAAATAACCCAGAGATGCCTTTTAAATAAAAGCACACATTCTACTCATGTAAAAACACACTGATTCCCGAACCGTCCGTGGGCCGAATTGAGAAGGTGATTGGGCTGGATCCGACCCCTGGGCCTTAGTTTTCCTACTCATGATCTAGTCCATCATTCTGGGGGAGACTTGCAAGCAGGATTCGAACCCAAGAGCCCTCTCCCCATGAAAATGATATATCGATGGTATCTAACATGGAGTAAACTGGCAAAAATGTATAAAACGGAATCAAATACCATATTTTCCCATGTATAAGATGCCTCCATGTATAATACGACCCCTATTTTTTGCCCAAAGTTGTTGAGCGTTTTTTTTGGGGGGGAAGCTTTTTTTGGGGGGGTCGCCAATGCAAATTGCTCTACAGCCTGCCCACCACTGCAGATTGCACACATCACCGCAACCAAAAAGCCCACGTTCTTGCATTCCAGGAGTAGATGAGTAGATGATCCTTTGGTTTCCTTCCAACTCTACAATTTTATGATTCTATGTTTTTAACCCTTTTCCTTGGTTCAAATGGTTTTATGTTGGAAGTGTATTTCAATATGCGCTGAGCCTAATACCCCTGGGATTGTGATGCTTTGAGATTTAATCTACTAGATCCAGCCAATGGCCCACCTCGTCCAGCATCATCTTCTTACAGTGGCTGAACAGTTGCCTGTGGGAGCTACAGGGTGGGCAATTTCAAAAGTCTATATAAGAGCTTGCACACCAATGTTTGGGGTTCCTCCTCCCTCCTGCGTGTGGTGAGTGGAGACCCTGTTGCAACAGTTGGATAAAGATCAGGCTTACTAGCTGCTTTGCTTCTCAATATTCTCTGGTTGGCCTCTGTTATTTTCTCCTATCAATAGGGAACCCACTTAAGGACTCTATAGGGGCTCTTGGATACCCCACAAGGGATAAAGGAACAGTTTTTATAACACAGGCTAACAGGCTAGCTAGGGGACGCAGGTGGTGCTGTGGGTTAAACCACAGAGCTTAGGACTTGCTGATCAGAAGGTCGGCGGTTCAAATCCCCGCGACGGGGTGAGCTCCCGTTGCTCGGTCCCTGCTCCTGCCAACCTAGCAGTTCGAAAGCACGTCAAAGTGCAAGTAGATAAATAGGTACCGCTCCGGCGGAAAGGTAAACGGCATTTCCGTGCGCTGCTCTGGTTTGCCAGAAGCAGCTTAGTGATGCTGGCCACATGACCCGGAAGCTGTACGCCGGCTCCCTCAGCCAATAAAGCGAGATGAGCGCCGCAACTCCAGAGTCGGCCACGACTGGACCTAACAGTCAGGGGTCGCTTTACCTTTAACAGGCTAGCTAGCTGTAAATCAAATGGTTTGGGGCATAGTTTCTGAGAAGCTCATGCACGGAATGATTGGCTGCAGGGTCGTGCAAACTGAGGCTACCTATGGGGTTCATTCCACCAGTTCTTGAGGGCTTCCAAGTGGCAGGCTGAGGAGCTTGCTGGGTATATATATATTGCTTGCTGTTAATCTTCTCACTCGCTTGTGTTTTGTGTTACTTCTGAATCTCATTTGAAAAGAACCACCTTGCATTTGGTAAGACAACTAACCTGACCCGAAGTCTCTCGAATATACCATATATATCTGAAGGAGCATCTTCACCCCCATCGTTCAGCCCAGACACTGAGGTCCAGCACCGAGGGCCTTCTGGCGGTTCCCTCACTGAGAGAAGCCAAGTTACAGGGAAGCAGGCAGAGGGCCTTCTTGGTAGTGGCACCTGCCCTCTGGAACACCCTCCCACCAGATGTCAAAGAGAAAAATAACTACCGAACTTTTAGGAGACATCTGAAGGCTGCCCTATTTAGGGAAGCTTTTAATGTTTAACAGACTATTGTATTTTAATATTTTGTTGGAAGCCGCCTAGAGAGGCTGGGGAAGCCCAGCCAGATGGGCGGGGTATGTATGTATGTATGTATGTATGTATGTATGTATAAATAAATAATAATGCTTTTTTGTACTACTCTCGTTTTTATTGCATTGTAACAAAAGCCGGGTGCCTGCTTCTCTCTTGGCTGAGTTGTGGCAAGGACCCATGGGTTTCCTGGCATTCACCCAGGGTCTGTGTCCCTTTGGAGAATTGAGACACGGCGGACACTGTCGTAGAATTAAGAAATATGGGGCTTTTCTTTTTTTCTTTTCTTTTTTTTGAATAAATATTTATTGGTTTAAAATACAAACATACAAGCATACAATGAAGGTAAATGTCAGGGCCGCCTCAGGTCCCAGCTCACAAGAGACCAACGCCAAGTCCACTTTATTTACAAAAGTCTTTATTGAAGTACATTGTTTGCTCCACAGCCGAGGCGCGCAGCCCCACGTCTGTTACGCTTAGACCGCTGAAGTCCCCTCTGAATCAGTCCCGTCTCCACACCAGTTTAAGAGGCTTCTGCTGGTCCACCTCTTCCTGTCCTTCCTTTTCCGCAGGGTCTTTCTGCCCCCCTGGGTTCCTTCCCTCCTGCTTTCCCCTGACGCTGAGTCCCCAGACGCCTGCTCCCCCCTCCTCCGTGCTTTGGGACCAGGCTCCTCCTCCGGGCTCTCCGCATTTCCGCGCGCCTCCACATTTGAACTTGGCGCGCGTACGCTGCTTCTGACCTTCCTTTTGACAGTTATACTGCTCTCCGTACTACTCTCCGCCCCTTCCGGCAGGACGTCTTGCCCCGATCTTCTTCCCCTCTCTGCTTCCTGCTGTGCTTCGTCTGTCACACTGGGAACTCCACCCTCTTCACTCCGTTCCGGCGGGGAAGCCGGCCCCGATCTCCAACTCCCACTCGGGGTTTCCCTGCTGCTCCCCTGCTCCTGACGAGTCCCCCCTGTGGCTCCCCTTGGCCTGACCAGGGGCGCCCCCTTTTGGGAATCCTCCGATTCACTTGAAAGACTCATGGAAACCCTCAAGTCATTGTCATCCTCCTCCTCCTCGTTCCGGGATTCTTCCCCCTCACTCTCAGTCTCCTCCCTCATCTGTGCCTCTCTCCCTGAACCCCTGACAGTAAATATTACCAAGTTAAATACAGAGAGAAAGAAATAGAAAAGAAAAGAAAGAAAAAATGAAGCAGTCAAGAAAATGATTAAAAAAAGAAAAAAAGACCAAAGATTTATACAACATTATATCAATCAAATATATTTATTTATTTTTGCAAAAAACTTCCAATCTTTTTCGTTATGCTTTTTCTGTTGTCATGGTATTATCACATAGTTTTGTTTTATATCCTTTTTCTTACATTCCACTATAAAGTTTATTTCAGTTATCTATTATTTGCAAGTATTGTTCCAATTCTGCTAAGATGGTATCATTTTTGCAATATAGTCTTATATATTCCTTCAATATTTTCCATTCTCTGTTTTCTGGTAAAAAGAGCAGCCTTCAGAAATTCTGCACATTGGGATAATCTGTCAATTCCAGGTTCTCTGTTACTCCGTTATACCAGTCCAGTCTGGTACAGTGGCTAGAGCATTGGGCCTGCGTTCAAATCCTCCACTCACTGGGCATGAAACTCACTGTGGTGACCTGGGGCCAGTCCCTGCCTCTCAGCCCAACCGACCTCACAGGGGTGTTGTGGGGGAATGAATGTATGCGACCATGTGCTCCTTAGAGGACAAGGTAGAATATAAGTTCTAATAATAATAATAATCTTAGATCCAGTCCCCCACATCTCTATATCAACCTGCCATTTATTTATTTTTTGAAGTTTCATTTAATTTTATTAAAATGCATATTAATGGTGTGGTCTATTTTTTTTAATAGACTTGTAGTTTCTAACATATTCTAACACATCTCAGCTCCCTTTCCTCCTCTCCTTTCGTATCTCACACCTGTTTTCGGAGACGAGTCTGTTCTAAGCTTGATTTTTGTGTTTTAGTAAAAATCTATTCGTGTTTTTTTTAATAATCCTTGTGAAAATCAATTGATGTGAATTTCCCTTAATAGATACAAGTTGTTGTTTTTGTAAAGCAGTTCTCCCTAAAATAATGCATTCTCATGTGCTACTTTCACCAAAACATATGCATTTTTATGCACAGTTTACCTGGATATAATTTAATTCTGTACGCATTGCTTGGCTGGAGACTTGCATTGCAAAATTGGGAAAAGTGCACATTTCAAATATTGCAGGGGGCCTGTGTTTTGCTTCATGTAATCATCATCATCATCATCATCAATACTTTATCTATACCCCACCCATCTGGCTAGGTTTCCCCAGCCACCCTGGGCAGCTATTGTTTATGTATTGTTTCAAGTAGGGATGCGGGTGGCGCTGTGGTCTAAACCATGGGTAGGCAAACTAAGGCCCGGGGGCCGGATCTGGCCCAATTGCTTTCTAAATCCAGCTCGTGGACGGTCTGGGAATCAGCGTGTTTTTACATGAGTAGAATGTGTCCTTTTATTTACAATGCATCTCTGGGTTATTTGTGGGCCCTGCCTGGTGTTTTTACATGAGTAGAATGTGTCCTTTTATTTAAAATGCATCTCTGGGTTATTTGTGGGGCATAGGAATTTGTTCATTTATTTATTTTTC